ATATGGGAGGAGGGGAGGTGAGGGATTTACAAATTAGGGATTTTATGTGGAGTGGGGTGATATAAATTAATTTTTATAATAATATTATTAATATTTAATTAAACTTAAAAATTCTGTATGTATATATTAAATATCTGATTTTTGAATATTAAAAGTTGAAATCTGAATTTTGAATTTGTATCTTGAAAAGTAGGGTTAGCTGTAATTTTCACTTACACTTTTGCGTAAACTTGCGGGTGACCGTCTACGATTAATGTAAATCCGCCTGTAAAGCTGAATTCATATAGTCCGGTTCGTCCCGGTTCTCTGCTCCCGCCTTCTGTTTACTGCACCCACCCAAATCTCTCTCCCGTCTCTCCGGGCACCATTTCCAGATCGAACCTGCATCGAACTCAGCGTGATAAATTTCGCCATTGATACAGTCCCAGATCAAAACCCAATTCTTCGTCTTGCATTTCATTATGTATATGTATATAATCTGTACACACATATAGATCTTGATTGCATAATGAATTCACCGCCTTCCCAATCGGGAAGGTCCGAATCCCCGTTTACCAATAGCAAAAGATCGTCGAGTTTTACTTCTTCTCCACTATCGAAATCACTTTCTGATCCCAGCAGCCAGAGCTTTTCCTCCATCCTTAACAACCCCAAACCTTCTTCCTCCCTCGTGGGCTGGTGGTCTTCCTCAACCTCTGTACCGGCTTCCGAGTTTACCCCTTTGCCCTCTGTTCCGAAGCCCGGATCCGAAATCACTCGATCCGACTTCCTTTCTTACCTGTCGTCTGTTTCGGAACCTCACTCCCGGTTTCGGGATATTCTCAAGCAGCATGATCGCGACCACCAGGTGTTGGATGGGGAATCGGAGGGGGCCGCTGGTGAAGCGCTAGTGGCGTGTCTTAGGGAGGTTCCAGCGCTGTACTTTAAGGAGGATTTTGAGTTGGAGGACGGCGCGACTTTCAGGGCAGCGTGCCCGTTCAGGACGACGTTGGAGAATCTTGCTCTGCAGGAGAGATTATCGCAGTATTTGGATGTGGTGGAGTTGCATTTGGTTAGGGAAATCTCGCTCCGCTCCAACTCCTTTTTTGAGGCGCAGGGGCAATTGGAGGACTTGAATGCTAAGATTCTTGAGGGGTGTGGGAGGGTCAGGGAGTTGAAGGAGACCATTAGGATCTTGGACACCAACTTGGTGGGGTCTGCCAGGACAGTGCAGGAGCTAAGCTTGAAACGGGGTGATTTGATATCTCTGCACAACAAGCTTAGACTTGTGCTCTCTGTCAACCAGGCTCTCTCCACTCTTGAATTGGTAAGTTATCTCCAAAATTGTACTCGGTAGAGTGATTGTATCCTGCTGTTGCAGTGTTTTACAATGTATCATTTGCGGTTTAATTATCTCTGCTTTGCATGGTAGCCATAGTTTATAAATTTATATGTAGCTCTATCTGCTATCAAATTCAGCTGGTCTTCTATCATGGATTATTATCAACGCTAAACTTCTGAAGCTTAATTTACATGTAGCATAGATTGTAACTCGAGTTCCAGTCTCACGGACAGCAAGCCACCTTTAGGCCTTTGCAGCTAATTAGAAACAAAGGTTAAAGATCCCTGTGATGTGTTTTTCTATCCGTAAAATATTACCCCCTTTTGATTCCTAGTAACAAATCTTCTTTTATCTGTAAACTACCCACCACCCTATTGTACTTCAAATATATATAAACATAATGTTTACATTTGAGAAAGATGCCAAGGAGGAGTAGACACTATTACCAATGACACCATGGATTTGTTAACCACATTGCAACAATACTTAACATCAGATCTTGCTTGACACTGGAGGTGAGCGTTATATATATGATGATGTTGGGGCAACCTAAATGGAAGTTCTCTTTCATGAGAATAAGAAGAAGAAGAAACTGAGACTTGTTCTTATCAGTTCGGGGATGTTATCTTTCACGATGAGTAGAAGCAAAAATATCTTGGCTTTGCATGTGTAAAATGAGATACATTATTGGATTCAATATTGTCTACCGTGTCAATTATTATTATTATTATTATTTAATGGTTGTGAACTTTCTTCTTGGCATTTTTTTTTTTGATAATCGTGGATGTCTGGGCAACTTGCTCGCACCTCAACTAATCCCACGGGGCACTGAAGTTTGCGGTTGGGTACTCACCTCAGTGTGAGGGGACTCAAACTGGTGACCATTGAGGAGTAATTTCAAGGCCTTACCAATTCTTCTTGGCATTTATTGTTCATTTTCCCTCCCTGTTTGCGATTAACTTTTGCCTCCTCTCTAGTTATATTGTCAATGGTGTTTGCTTCAAGACAAGTGCTTATTGGCATCTCCAGTTACTTTGAGGCTTTACTTTTTAATTTATGTATTACTACACACGCAACTGTTAGCAAGTTGACTTACCATATTCATTGCCTATTGCGTGCAGCTTGTTGCATCTGCAGATTGTGTTGGCGCTTTAGACATTACTGATGATTTGCAGCATTTATTGGTATGTCTGTTGCTGATTATTTATTTATTTTTTTACAGTTTCTTGAAGTATCTTATTTTATATGTGAGTTCCATAACTATTTTCTTAGATTGGTTTCTGTGTCACTGGAAAGGCCCTTCTGTACTCATGTTGTTATTTTTTCCTGGTAATTCACAAGTTTGATCACTGGATCAAGGTTTAGAACCCTTTTAACTCAGTAGTAGAGTAACTCCATGGTAAGGCGTATATAATCGGTTCGAATCCAGGCTTTTTTTTTTGTGGAATAAAATTTAAACTTTCCACAAGATTGCTTTAAATGGCTAAGGCTGTGTTTCTTCTCTTTTTGAACACAATACAGAAATATCATGAGAGGAAATTGTGACTGTTTGGACAACTGGCAAAAACAATAATGGCTTCTTGATGTTCTCGAAAACTATTTTTAAGTGCTGTTTTCATGGTAGCACTCGATTAGGCATATCGTAACACTTAGCAGAGGAAATAAAAACTTGAATCCTTGAATCCTGTGGCCTACCTTTGGATGCATTTCCTTACTGCTTTTACTTTTCATATTGCACAATTCATTTGTTACAAATATTTCTATGGAGTGGAGGTCTATTCTATTTATCTTCTCATTTATTCTCTTTGTATTTTCCTCCTTTCATCCGATAAAAATGCAAATGCTTATTTTTTTTGGGTAGGATGGTGACGAGCTGACTGGTTTGCATTGCTTTCGTCATCTTCGAGATCATGTAGCAACTTCAATGGACACTATTAACAGGTTAGTCTTTCGTGCTCTGAGATGAAGGGGTTTTATGAGATTCTTATTTTTTCTAGTGTTGCTATCCAGCTTAAGAAAGCTATTTCAATGAAAGTTTCTCCCATATCTATTCTTTTGAGGAGAGTTTCCTACTGACATCATTAGAGGTCATATGGTGCAAGCCTTCAGGAGCATAATTAAAAAAGCTGGCTTTTACTGGTTTTTGGTTTCTATTGATTACCTTTTTTGTTGGTTTTCATGCGTTTTGACCTGCTCTTGACTAGGGTGGTTTATATTAATCTCTGGCCCCTCGGGGTCCACATTTAAAAATGAGTCTATATAAACTGATCTGAAGGTCTTACATTCTTCTTTATAATAATCACTGTAAAATTGGAAACTGAAAATGTGGTTATGCACGAGTCTGATTCAGTGTTTTTGTTAGACCTCATAATCTAACCTACACATGGATCTGTACTCCCAATGGACAAATCTGGATCTTGTTAGGAACACAAAATGAGTTACTACTCTCTTCTTATATCTAGTTACCCCTCGATTTTTTTTGGCTCAATTTTCCATATATTGAAGTAAATCAATTTACAGAGTTTTAGGAGGCTTTTTCACTTTGATATATGCTATAACAAGTTTGTAATTCAAAATTCTAAATGCAACAACACACTATATAGCTAAAATGTATTTAAATTGACCAAAAAGTTGTGGCGAGCTATGATGCACTGACACGGACGCATGTCGGATACACTAACACGCGATTTTTCAAAAAGATACTGACATGACACGTCTCCGATACGTTGACTAAATTCTTTATTTATATAGTATAAATTTAGTTTTATACATATTAATTTTTCTTGTTGAAATTTTTTACATATGAGTACGTATTTGTTATTTACTAATAACTTTGAGTTAAAAAGATATAATATTTTTAATGAAAAATAAAAAATGTTTATGGTAGAGTGTCCGATGAGTGTTGGTATCGACATGTGTTGGACACGGACACGCTACCCTAGTTAAAGTGTCTTTGCTACAGAAGTGGCGAGTAATGTGGGATGGACTAGTAAATGATGATATGATTACTTACTACATCTTGAATTTCTCATCTTCAGAGAATAGGCATTTTAGTTGCAAATAAAGTTCATTAACACTTAACTTAAATGGTGAGGTAGCCACTTACTGTACATGCTTTACTTTTCGATTTTCAACCCTTTCACTTGATTATCAGGGGTTGCTTGAGATTGAATTTAATTTCATGTTTCAGTATATATATTCATTGTACCTAAATATTAACTTCATTTTCAAGTTATACATGAATTTGCAACTTTTTAATGGGACATTAATCTTTTTTTTTTCTGGCCGTCAGCCTAAATTTACTTTTCTATATAATAGGTTTTTTACAATTAACCACATTTTGATAATGGAGTTACATGCAAGGTAGCTTGGTATTTTGACTTATCAAATTCATTCTTGTAGCATTCTTTCAGCAGAATTCATCCGTGCATCTTTGCATGGTGCTGATGATCCAGAGGCATCATTAACAAGGCATAGCTCGGCTTATAAGGGAAGAGATAATGAAGTAAGCATGAGATATGCATATGCATACCTGTGGATTAATATATATGCCTGTTTTAGCCGCACCCACACATAATGCAGATGCCTATTATTCCATAATCTTTCATTTCTTGGATTATTATCAAGTGGGTTTCCACCATGTTGTTCTAGATATGAAAATATAGCTTGAATGGTTGATACTTCAACTGATAATTTCTGAACTGCTGAGGTTGCTATCTGCTATGTTCAGACATCAATATCTTTTGATTTTCATTTTGTTAGGTTTGATTGACTCAAAAGCTGTAATACAGTACAAGATGCTTACCTTTGAACTTACCTGCTTTTTTTATTAATACAGCATGCTGATGTGCTCTAGTTTATTTCTGGTTCACCTTATAATTTGTGGTCTTGTTTTCCTCGATAATGGACCTTATGCACCATGTTTCCTGTAGCCTTGCTTTACTGTTTTTGAATGTTATCGTGTCTGTTTTGGCAGTGGAAACTTTCTGATTCTGTTTCTCTTTGCTTCATTGTTTTTGGTTGTTCTCATGTCTGGTTTAGCGCAGTAGTTACTTCTGTTGAACACTAATTTTAAAATAATGCAGGTTAGACTAGAGGAAGAGCGGATTTCTAATTTTCAAGACCAGCTTCTTCCCCTTATCATTGGATTGCTCAGAACGGTCAGTTCCACATTTATCATGTATCAGTCTCTATTTACCTACTAATCATCTAAGTGATTACTTGCTTAGCTGAAGTTTATGATGCCTAGATTGAAGAATTGTCTCATGTGTGATGTTCATTACAGGGAAAGCTACCTGCTGTGTTGAGAATATACCGTGATACACTTGCTTCTGAAATAAAAACTTCAGTCAAACTGGCAGTTGAGAATATGCATTTGGAGTTGGATTCTGTATCTGGAGACGGGGTGGTGGATGCAGATGGTGGGTTCACTTGCATATTGACCTTTCTTGAATCTTTGATTTTCGGACAAAGTAGCACTGTGCACACCTAATGGACATCTACTTTCTTGTTTCCTTTTGGATAAGCAATTCAAATTTCATTAATTGGCACTTGGGGTATCCACTACATAAGCCAACCAGCTTTGCAAGAAGTTCTTAGCTGTAAACTCTACCTTATATTCTGATTACATGCTAAAATAATGACTCAGGTGGAGGCTCATCACTGGGAACTAAGTTAAAAAGTCTGTCACCTGATGGCTTTCTTAAACTTTTGGAGGAGGTTTTCATGATTGTACAGGTAATGTATCTGTGCCCATTTCTCCTACTTCAACACTACAGCCATCCAGAATAAACCTATTATATTCCCTATGACATTGCTTTGAGTGGTGTAACTGCTACTTATGATTGTTGTCTAAGTTCCTGCACAAAGTTTAGAAAATGCCTTTTTGTATGATTTGCTCGGATGTCTAGTCACACACTTCCGTGCAAATGTATGTGTAGAATTTGATGTGGGTGAATGCGTGAAAGAAGGATGTTTACTTCAATTCATAATCAACTCAGTTTTTTAGGAAATTCAAGGAGAATTCCTTGACAAAGGGGGATGATTTGAGCAATCCCAGTGTCCTCAAAAGAGACAGTAAAATTTTCAGTAAACGAAGTTTGAAAAGAATTTATTATGTGTTGTCGGACTAGGCATTTCTAAATGACTGAATCCCACCACACTTGTCAACCAAGAAATATAACAAAGAAGAAAGAAAATAAAATAAAATCTAAAATATCTTGGAAAGAACATAAAACTAGATTTTAGAGCGAAACTTAATTTGACTAAATACTGGAAAGTCAACAGCGCCACTTGAACAATACAGTGGTAAATACTAACTATTCATCTATCAGTTCTTTATGTAGTCCTTGGTGTAGGCTAGCTAAAAAAATACGACAAGCAGTAGAAATGTACAATTTTTGGTTGATTTTTTCTTAGCCTCCTTTTGGGAAGAATCCAGAAACGGTTTAGTTTTAAATAGTAAAAGTGAATGTTTTATAAGTGGATAGTACTTATGAGTCTATTGGAATGTGGTTGAAAATGAAGTTTGACTATTTATAAAAATGATTTATAAGATTTGCCAAACGGAGGCTTAGGAATGACCGAAAAGCGAATAATTATATGGCTAAAAGTTCTAAATATAGGGGAACATGGAAAAGACATTACACGGATTTAAGATGCTGGAAAAGAAGAAAGTCGGAAGCCGTAGAATGGTTTCATGAACAGCGATTTTGGAGATTAGCGCTGATTTGATTAGTTATGTTCTTGGGAACCAATGAGCTCTATGAAGAATTGGATTTGTCATAAGAAGAAAGACTTGCAAAGTTGGAATTGTAAAGAGTGAGATGGCTAGGAGAAATAAAAACATTGAAAGGGTTTATAGTGCAGTTAAGAAGCACCGATACTCGCAAACTCGTTATGTACCCGTACGTGATACGTATCAAAGTTTCGATACTCTCTGATACCCTCCGATATGTAAACTTTTATTTTATATATTTTTATATTTTTAAATTTCCAATACGTATATTTTTTTAATATTTTATATTTTTGTGTGATTTTCTATATGTATTTTTTAATTTATTTTACTAATTTATTGAATATCAGTAATATTTATCGAAAACACACAATTAGAGTTTTGAAATTAACAACTAGAATTTTTATTGGAAATGCACAATATTATTAATCTTTCAATACATATGAAACCATATTATAGTTGAGAAATATATTTTTATTATTAAAAATAGATAGTGACTAATATTAAATAATGCATGTAAAATTGTGTTACATTAATTATATTATTGAAAATAGATAATGATTTAATATATGTTAAACCGTGCTAATAAAGTGCTTTCTTATTTTAATTTATTTTAATTATCACGCTTCAGTAGTAATATTTTTTTTTATATTAATGAAATTATGTTGAATTTTATAAAACATATCGGCATATCCTAATTTTTTCAAAAAAAGTTGTATCGGTATATCCGTATTGTATCGTATCTGAATTACGTATCCGTATCCGTGACTTACGTATCCGTATCCGTGCTTCTTAGTAGTGCAGAATGTCATTAGCAATTGTTCTATAATTATATCTTGGGGTCTATAATCAGAGCTTCTTAACTTTTAAAGAAAAGCTGCTTCTTGGTAGAATTCTTTTCAACATGAACCGAAAGAATGGCATGAAGTTTATAAGGTGGATCCCCACATCCCAATTGCCAACAATTGTTTGCTTTGATCTTTCCTCATTTATTATAATATCTCTACTAGTCCTGGAAAGTATGTTTTCTAGCCTTTCTTGAGGATAATATTTTTGATATTTGCATTGTTTGATTGAATTGACTCAAAAAGTTTTGCGTCATTCATCGAGATTTACTTCGCGGTGTTGGTACACTCTTGATTCTGAATTTGTCATGATGTTACTTGATTCTTTCTTTTAGTGAATGCAGATGCGCTTGATGAGGGCTTCTGATGTTAAAAAAGCAATTGAGTGGATCATGGGCAATCTCAGCGGTCACTATGCTGCTGCTTCAGTTGCTGCCGCACTTGCACTTGGTGCAGCTGCTCCAGACACAACTCAGGAGACTTACGGGCAGGGTAGTTCCATTTTATCACAATCTTCCCTGGGGAATGTTACCAGAGTTCCATCCATCCAGGGAAGGGGAAATGATATCACAAGTCCAACAAATCTTTCAAGAAACTTCCGGTAAAATTCTGTTCCCTTTGCTGTTACAGTTGGATACACATTTCTTTGGCTGCTTATTCAGCTGACAGGGAAATAGAAGAGCAGAGGAAAATTTCCTGTTTGGTTCATGAGTCTTTGTTAAATCTGTAAAATTTTATCATTGAGATTAAAAGGAGACAGAGCAAGCATAATGCAACAGTTATCATGGCTAGTTTTACTGGATATGGGGAGGGAAAGGATTTCATGAGTGATGAGAGAAAATTTGTTGCTAATGGAGAAGAAAGGTTAGGCAATCCTTCCTGACAAATAAACTTATCTGATTCTATCAACTCTGAATCCCTGACGGAGTTGAATTAAGGCCACATCCATCAATAATAATTAGAATCGCAGAATTTGAGTAGCATGTGAGGACGTCACGTGTTCCTCTCCTCCACCCAGATCTAGCAAACAATAATACAACACAGAAAAATTATGCATCTTCATTTGCCAAGGGATGTAGGCTATTCTGCCAAAAAGAGAACAAAGTATTAGGCATTGAAACTGCTGGCATGGATTAAAGAGAATTTTTAGAGTAACTTTGTACAATTGGTATGCTTTTGTCTTAGTTTCTTCACATTTAAAATTGAATCACCAGAGAAATTAGTTTCTAGTTATCAATTGATGAATAGTGACAGATTTAAAAAGCTTTGGTTAGAGTTCCCCTTAAATGAATGCCTCTCGTGGCCGTTATATTTAACTTGAAGTTGATTCTTCAATACATCATTGCCTGGATTTATTTTCTTTATTTTTCTGAAATAACAAATTTGAGGGCCAACTACATTGCCAATGAGTCCAGAGACGTATTTAGAATTATGGATGCTTGTACCGTGTGAAATGCACACACTTAATTGACATATAATTTCCCTTTTTATCTACAGAACTGATATTTTAAGAGAGAATGCAGAAGCTCTATTTGCAGCCTGTGATGCTGCTCATGGAAGATGGGCAAAAATTGTTGGAATTCGCTCTCAAATTCATCCAAAATTGAGGCTGCAGGATTTTCTAAGTGTCTATAACATCAGTCAGGAATTCATTAGTTCAACAGAGAAGGTATCTATTGATTTTCTGGTCATTTTTGTCTATCAGATATAGCTTTGTATTGTTCTGGTCATGATACCATATTATGCTAACATAAACAGATTGGTGGAAGGTTGGGATACAGCATTCGTGGAACTCTACAGTCACAGGCTAAAGCCTTTATCGAGTTCCAGCATGAATTTCGGGTGAGTTTCCATTCCACCTGACTTCGCTGGCTTTTACCAGGTTTCTAACTGTGAGTCCAAGACTGATTCCCATGTTGGTTATTGCAGATGGCAAAGATGAAGGCTTTACTTGACCAAGAAAATTGGACTGAGATAGATGTGCCAGATGAGTTTCAGACCATTGTCACTCCATTATCTTCAGATTCCATGACTGATGGACATAGAGATGAAGCTCCTGGTACATCTAACAACAGTGAAACAATATCAAGAAGTAATGATTTCCCTGTGGCTGATGCTGGACTTTCAAATTCATCTCAACACATTGAACTGCCTGATTCTAATGGAATGTCAGCAGTTCATGCACAAAACGCCGATTCTTCACGCCTGAGTGGGGAGTCTGAGAGTGGCAATACTGATGTTGGAACTTGTGGATCGTCTTCCACTCAAAGTAATAATGTTAATACGAGAGAACGGGGAAAATCTTCCCTTCGGATGCTTTATTTTAAAGGTGTTGGATATCACATGGTAAACTGGTAAGCTATCCTTAATACTTGTCTCTTTCCATCATGTATACTTTCTCTGTATGCTATGCATATCTGTTTGTTTATCTTTCTCTTCCTTCTACTTGTTAAACTGATAAGCCGCCACTATTTATTATCTTTCTTTGAATGTTAAAAATGTTGATTAGCTAATGTAGTACATCACAACTACAATTAATAGTTTCCTACTATAATTATGATTCACCTTTTCTAGGAGTTTATCTTTTCAATTATGTTTATCTTTTCTAGTTTCCTTTTCTAGTTGTAATAGGATTTCTATCTTTGATTTGATTAGGACTATAGCTTTAATTTCCTAGTAATAGTAGAAGTAGGGAATAACCTTACCTATAAATATAAATATAGAGGCATTGTACACTTTTTTCATCACAATTGACCATAAATCAATACAAAGCAAGATTATTTCAATATAGTTCTTAATTTCAATTTTTATTACAAGAATTCCTAAAGCTTTCGCACCAGAATTGGTATCAGAGCAAGGAAATTACCTTAATCTGATAGCCGACGAGGTTTGGGCAGCAGTCGAACCTCCGATGACGAACGACAGATCGTAAACAATTGAACAACAAATAGAAGGGATTGATAAAACCCTTCACAACATCACGCAGATTTTGACTGCGTTGAGTCTTGAAATGAATCGTGTGCCCATGGAGAAGCAAGATGGTAATAATTTGTAGACTTTAACTGCTATGAATGTTGGTTGCTTCAACAAGCCTAGAATACGGCAACAGGTGGCTAGAGAGTTTCCTCAAATCCCAGCTAAGTTTGAATACACACAAGTTATCAAAGATTTGAAGCGTAACAAAATTTTTAGAACACGATACACCATCAATAACAAAGTATGCAAAGTGATAATAAACCATGAGAGTAGTGGAAACTTGATTTCCAAAGCATTGGTAAAAGCTTTAAATTTGAAGACGAGAAAATACTCATTTTGTTTTCAAGCTTCACAAGTTAAAAGGGGATAAAAAATTCAAAATTTGGAGGTATGCAAAATTTCACATTCTATTGGAAAATACCATAAAGATGAGATTATATATAATGTGGTAGAGATGGATGATTGTTATGTACTTTAGGGACAACCATGGTATTATGATGTAGATGCTACTTACATAGTCGAGATAATATGTATGTATTTCAGTGGTACGATCAGATTGTTTGGTCATGTGATGAGCAATATGTGAATATTAGTATAAGTAAAGAAAGACAGTTTTATAAGGCTGATGATGAGGTTAAACAAGATATAATTCAAGATAATCAGGATGTTATCGTCAATGAGACTACAATAGAAAAAGAAAAGCACGTCCAAAAGAAGGCAATAACTTCTTGAGGTTGTGAAACGGTCTGCTAAAGAGGCTGTTGGTGTAGATGCTGTCATGCGTATTATATCCAAAAGTGATGATGGTAGTATTCTAATGGATGCCGTGTTTCGTGCTATTCGTTCTCAGTTAAAACCAGATGATGGCTCCGTCCCAATAGTTGGACATATTGCTAGAGAAGTTCATTTGGGAAACTGTTGGAGGTGTGGGATGGTGAGGTAAGGAATTCAGGACTCCAGCTTAGTGACATGACAAATGGGTCGTCTGATCTTTTCTCAGTGAAGGATAAAAATGAGATTACATGTGTAAAGAAAGCTGCATACTTGAATGCGTGTCCAATGAAGAATTTTGTGGTTCCAAAAGTTGAGAAGGCTATCGATGAGGAGAAGAGTCTCCAATTCCTCATTAATGGATGACATAAAGAAGGCAATACTTGACCCGGTGAAGATTGGTGTCAAATTGAAGGCTGATAATGTATATCTGTTATCCTCCAATCTTTCAAAGTGGTGGAACTTTTGATCTCAGGCCTAGTGCTTTAAGCAACTATGAATATCTATACTATGATTCTGCCAGTGTTATCATTTGTGCCTTTGGATCAAGATATAACAGCTACTGCTCCAACATTGCCAGAACATCCCTCATTGATGCAAATACGGATGGCCTATGAAGTTCTTCTTAAGGTGTCGAGGCGGCAATTTTTGAATTGAAACCAGGAAATAGGGTCAGTGCTGTTTATCAAGCAACCCTTGCTGTGGTGGAGAGGGATGCTCCTGAGCTGGTTCCGAACCTGACAAAATCTGCAGGTACAGGCATTGGTTTGGAGTTTCGCGCATCAGGGTTGAACCTTAATGTAAAAAATGACAGAGTGGTGAAGGCAGGAATGATTTTTAATGTTTCAATTGGTTTCCAGAATCTGCATACTGGGACTAGCAAGCCCAAGAGTCAGAATTTTTCATTTTTACTTGCAGACAGTGATTGTGACAGAAACTTTTGAGTGTTTTCCTCTCGATTGATTTTCTATTTTTTCGACCAAATCCGAGGACGAGTTTTTTCAAGTGGGAGAGATTGATGTAGTACATCACAACTACAATTAATAGTTTCCTAATACAATTAATGTTCACCTTTTCTAGGAGTATTTTTTCAATTTTGTTTATCTTTTCTAATTTCCTTTTCTAGTTGTAATAGGATTTTTATCTTTTATTAGATTAGGACTATATTTTCAATTTCCTTAGTAATAGTAGAAGTAGGGAATAATTTTGCCCATAAATATGGAGGCATCATACACTTTTTTCAGCACAATTAATAATAAATCAATACAAAGCAAGATTATTCCAATATGGTTCTTAATTTCAATTCTCATTACAAGAATTCCTAAATGCTTCCGCACCACTAGCTCATTTGGGGGGAAACAATAGACATGTTTCTTCTATTAGTGTGTTCATAAGTGATCTGATCTAAATAAACAGGTAAAAATGAAAATTTAGGAAATGAACTATCTTGGTGATATAATCTGCTGGAGAGTGCACTGCGCTACCTCTGTCACTATGGGTAATGGGGCCTCCCTGAGTGGTTCAATAGTTCTATAAAAAATTGAAAAATAAGAAACTTCACCGACTCAACATTTAATTGGTTTGTTTGGTTCTGGATTATAGCTATTTGTAAAGTACTTGGACCTTTATGCCTACACCGGATATTTCAGTACTGCACTAGTCTTTCAACCTTATGACTGCATTGATATTTAAAATACGAGTAATCTTCTTGATATGAGCTTCAATATCTGTCCTGGGGCTAAAAAAAGAACTTGATTACTAACCTTGTTTCTTTTTTTCCTGCCCTTCAGTGGCTTATATTTGGTGAAGATGTTGTCAGAGTACGTCGATATGAATAATTGTTTGCCAACACTATCTGCTGAAGTTGTTCACCGTGTTGTTGAGATATTGAAATTTTTCAATTCAAGGACGTGTCATCTTGTTCTTGGCGCAAATGCCTTGCAGGTATTATAGTGGACATGTGATTAGCGACTTTATATTAGTTGGTTGAACAAAATGCCCAAAAAGGAAAACAGCACATATAATATCTGCCAAATATTGTCACTTGACGCTAGAATTACTTTATGTTCATTTTCTATCATGGAATCAACCTTAAAAATCATGACTACTGTCCTTGGTGTCAATTATGCTCTAGCATTTAGTCATTGTGTAGCATAGGTACAATTTTTGATTATATTATTTGCATCGCACTTATTGTCAGGTTCAATTTTTAATATAAAACTTCCAGTATTTTTATTTCTCAATATGTATTAAAGGAAATGGTAAACCTATTAAAAAAGTAATAAAAAAGTAGGTAGACGGAGATATAAATAAAATGATGAGCGAAGAGGAATAAATTTCCTTACATGCTACCTCTATCAAACAGAGATGCCATCTTAGTTTGAATAGGAATATGAGCTATTACCCCCTGGAAGGCTAATGAGTAAAACACATTGCTTAAACAAATAGGCTCGGTGCAGGATTTAGGCATGTGCACTAGCATTGAGGGAACTCAAGATTTACAATGAAATATCTACTGTTAACTATTACTAAATTTCTTATTTACACCAAATTTCTCGTGGATGAAGTTTGAGTTTAACGGTTAGATGCATGTGTTGGAGAGTTCAGGGTTTAAAGGGCTGTCTTGATTTAATACAGATTTCTAGAATAAAATTAATGTTAAGGTTATTTTGTCTTGGAAAAAATACTGGAAAAGTAATTAAATTCATATACTGATCTTGAGTTCTTCCTCCTAGAAAAATGAAATAACGGATGCCAATATTTCACTATGAACAAGTTAGTTTGACCTTAATAAATGACAACCAGATCGTTTTTTTGGGACAGTAGTGGTGAAGAGTTCTTCTGGGGTGTTGTAAATGTTATCTGTTTAGTTGATCGTGGTCCTTTTGATCCTGTTTCTATTTAGACATTTTGCATAAAGGCGAAGTTTGATAATTGAATTTTACCTTTTTAGTAAGATGGAAGTAATGTCTAATCAGATTTGGGATTTTATAAAGCTTTAGACCTCGCAAAATATAAGGAACATTTGATGTAGATGAGTGTGTTTAATAGGTCTAAAAAGTTCTAGTGAAACAGTACTAGTTTTATGGTGATCCATGATTGGTATTTCAAATCTGTTGATAAATAATGACTTCAGGTCGAGAGCCATTGTTGATTAACCTTGTGTTTAATCAGAAATAAATTTACCTTTTAGTTGATTTAACTTGTGTAATGTTAATTTGTCATACAATATTAGTTACTACATTGTGTGTTTTCTTATAAATGTTTTTGGAAAAAAAAATAAATTCCATTTCAGGTCTCTGGTTTGAAGTCTATTACTTCTAAACACTTGGCTATGGCAAGTCAGGTTATCAGCTTCACTTATGCCATTATACCAGGTAGGTGATAAATTCTATCTTCATGTACTTCAATTGAGTTATAGATGGTCATGTTTTTCTATGTGGTTAATTTAAAGTATCTCCTTCGAAAATTGTGCACCCGGGGTGTGTGGATATTTTTGTTTGTTAAATCCATCAACTATGTCCATTGAGAAAATAAGTGACCTATTTTCAAGATGTATACATACATGCAGCCTCACCCTAGCACAACATTTGCTCACCGAACTTGTAACACGAATAAATCCTTGAAAAACTGTTACAAGTTTGTGTGCACTGAAACCATTAAAATAAACAAAAGGGTATCCCAGGATTTTCATTATCTTCTTCAAAAGCTGCTAAGCAAAGCAGTAGCACTTTTCATATCTTACCTATTCACCAAGTGAATCCCTTTACCCTCCAGAGACTCAGAATCAGATCCACCATGTTCCGATGAACTTCAAGTCCCACGCGCCTGACCGGCCTGCTGTGCAGGTCAGTCCGACTCCGGCGAGCGTGGTGGAGCTTCCGGGCAGTGCTCCCTGGGGAGGCGCGTGGCACCCACGCGCCGGTAACAGAGATAGTAAGGCGTCCTCGTGACCTGCTTAGGTCGTTTCACCCCTCCGTTCTACTGTCAGATGCATCATTTCAGAAGCAGGCAGATATCTTTGGTAAAAGGGATTTCAATTTTCGGTTTAAAGTGGAGGCGAAAGAGTTTGTTGTGTCTGTGTATGATTCCGGCATTGTTAGGTTGACAGAATGGGGGCCGAGATTATCGAATGCAATTTACATGGGGAGGTTTGGTGCCTTGTGGATGTTGAATACCGTGAATAAATTGAGGGGGGCAAGCAAGAAGGAGGAGTTTGTTGTCAAGTTCACTAAGTCCTCGCGAGCCTTTATGGCACAGCGATGTGGTAACAGTCGAGGTAGATATCTGACAATAGCACAGTATGGAGGCGTCGGAAAGGAGTGGTAATGGTACCGGAAGGTGTAAATGGAGAGGGCTGGATGTCGATGCTGCGGATGTTTCATGCATTTGTCGATTTTTTTGTCACCAAAGATAAAGTCAAGCGTCAAACGACTAAAGTTAACAGCCAACAATGGAGGTCTTATGCTGAAGTTACCGCAAATCGACAGGTCGAGCAGAAAACGAATAAGCTAGTGCTGGTGCAAAAGAAAATTGAGGTTTGTGGGGATGATACTTGCGCACGACTCTCAGATCCTATCAACGAGGGCCATCCATTGATGCCTAAGTTGAAGGAGACAATGGCAGGAGTGGCATTGGACAGTTCATTGCGTAATGCTGAAATAAGGGCTCGAGTTCAGGTACTGAAAGGTGAAGTGGATGAGTTATGGAGGCTACTGGGTGGTGGAGCTCTAGAGGGCTCCAGGATGATTTGTTGTCATAAGTGCGAGGCTGGGGTGTCTGAGTATCCTGCTAAGGAGTTACCATTGAACTTGATTAAAACTAAACCCAATTGTGAGAATCAGGTAAGGTATGACGTGGAATGCGGTGGAGATGAAGATGGTAATGATATTATGGGGTTGGATAAGAATGAATACTCGGGGAATGCAGTATATTGGGAGGTGGAACTTTTACCGAAGGGAGGGGAACAGAGTATGACGAGTATGGAATTGATGACAGTGAATGAGATCGGAGAGAATAGTGGGGCATCTGAGAATGAGGTGGACAGTACCACATCGACAGAGGGAGTAGTGTTGACACCAGAGCAAGAAGTGACAGGTTCGACAACTATGATTGTAAACACTTACAATAGGAGGCATCACAAGTCTCTAACAGAAAATGAGGTAGGGACTGAAAAAGCTATTGTAGTGTGGGTGGATGGAGTTAAAAGAGGAATAATGGACAAGGGGGTAGTGTAGGTGGAAGATGGGGAAGGACAGATCTTGGAGCCTTTTGGGTGTTGCTATGCAGAGGGGATAGGGAAAGTTAATGCGCTTGACGTTAGACCTCCAGTTTCAAATTGGGTTCTCCAAAAAATGCAGCAGTTCAGCAAGATGGTGGGTGTGTCATGCGGTGGTTATGAGAGCAAACTCATGCAATTGTTTGAGGAGCTGGAGACTAATAGGGAACGTGAGATGGGTGCACCGGGAGGAAAAGCAAGAAGAAAGGGGGACCGTGAGCTTATGCGGCTCGAATGTTCGATAAACTATGATGTCAAATGTGGTGAGTCAAAGAGAGGGTTGCTGGGGAGGGATGAAGTAAAGTTTAAATGATCCCAAAAATCATTAACTGGAATGTGAGGGGGCTTAACGAAGTTGGGAAAAGGTTAGGTATTCGGAACATGCTAAGGGGATGGCGGGCTGATCTAGTTTGTTTACAAGAAACAAAGTTAGAGGTGGTCATGAGGGCTGTTGTGAGTTCTTTATGGGGGGGACAACATGTCGGGTATCAGTTTCTTGGAGCGTCAGGGGCATCAGGAGGTGTGCTCGTCATGTGGGACACTAGAGTTCTTGATATGGAGGAGGTTAGTGTAGGGTTATTTTCTCTATCACTTTCCTTCAGTAATGTTGGGAATAGATTTAAGTGGATGTTTATAGGAGTTTACGGGCCTAACTCAGTTGAGAACAGAAGGGGTTTGTGGGATGAATTGGCTGGTATGATGGTTTGNATTTTAATGTGGTCAGGTTTCCTTCTGAGAGGTCGAGTGGAGGGAGATTAATAGGGGCTATGGAGGATTTTTCTAATTTTATTATTGAAAATATGTTGGTGGATTTGCCTATGATGGGGGGAGAGTTTACTTGGTCATCTAACTGAGATCAACCTGTACAATCTCAAATAGATCGGTTTTTGATTAGTGGTGAGTGGGAAGCTAAGTACGCAGATGTCACTCAGAGGAGACTGGGGAGAGTGTACTCAGATCATTTCCCTATTTCATTATATGGGATTATGAGGGGAAGTGGTAGAAATCCTTTTAGGTTTGAGAAGATGTGGCTTAAAGTTGAAGGCTTTGGGGAGCGAGTTCGGACTTGGTGGGCCTCTTATGAGTTTAGGGGATCCTCGAGTTATATTTTACATCAGAAATTGAAGGCTTTGAATGGGGATTTGAAGAAGTGGAATGGAAAGGTGGTGGGAGACATAGATTGCCGTAAAAAACAATGTTTGTCAGACATTGAAGAGTTGGATAGGCGGGAGGAGAGTCGAAGGTTGGATGGGGAAGAGAGGGAGAGGCGTGGAAGGTTAAGGGGAGAGCTTGAGAGATTGCTTGGAGACAGAAATCTAAGGTCATGTGGTTGAAGGAGGGTGACAAATGCACAAGATTCTTTCATTGGGTCGCTAATTCCAACCGGCGCAATAATTCTATTACAATGTTGGAGGTTGATGGGGTTATGTACGAGGATCCACAAGACATTGTGACTCAGCAGGTGAGATTCTATCAAAATCTCTACCGGGAACAGTTTGAGTGGAGGCCACAGTTGGATGGGCTGGATTTCTTTACTATCACTGAAGAGGTTGCCAATTGGGTTGAACGACCAATTGAGGAGGATGAAGTTAGGGATGTGGTGTGTAATATGAATGAAGATAAAGCCCCTGGACCGGACGGATTCTCATTTTCATTCTATAAGGTTTGTTGGGAGGTGGTACGATTGGACATTATGGATACAATCACCTATTTTTTTGAACGTGGCAGGTTTATGAGAAGTCTTAATGTCACATTTATTGTGTTGATTCCTAAGAAATCGGGAGCGTCCGATATTAAGGACTATCGTCCTATTAGTTTAATCAGTGGGATATATAAGATTATTGCTAAAGTTTTAGCGAACAGATTAAAGGAGGTACTGGGAAAAGTTGTGTCCAAGTTCCAGAATGCTTTTGTGAAGGGGCGCCAGATTTTGGATTCAGTTCTTATAGCAAACGAATGCATTGACTCAAGAACACGTCAGGGGGTTCCAGAGATGTTGTGTAAGCTTGATATCCAAAGGCGTATGATCACGTCAACTCGGAATTTCTTATGTATATGCTCCGGCGTTGCGGCTTTGGGGATAGGTGGTGTAAGTGGATTAAGTTTTGTATCTCCACTATTTCATTCTCAGTTTTGGTTAATGGCAACCCTGAAGGCTACTTCCGGAGCAGTAGAGGCTTGAGGCAAGGTGATCCGTTGTCCCCTTTGTTGTTTGTTATTGTGATGGAGGCATTCAGNGAATGCAGAGTTGCTCAATTACCCATGTCATATCTTGGGCTTCCATTAGGAGCAAAGTTTAAAAGTAAACAAATCTGGAATGGTATTATTGAAAGGGTGGAGAGGAGGTTAGCGGGGTGGAAGCGTATTTATCTGTCCAAAGGAGGCCGTCTTACTCTCATCAAATCCACGCTTTCTAGCCTTCCTACCTATTTTCTATCACTGTTTCCTATTCCCGTTGCAGTGGCAAATATTTTGGAGAAGATGCAGAGGGATTTTCTTTGGGCAGGGTTGGGGGAAGAGAGGAAGTTTCATTTGGTCAAATGGGGTGATGTTTGTTCCCCTGTTAGGGTGGGAGGGCTTGGTTTGAGGAGCCTTGTTTTATATAACAAGGCTTTATTGGGTAAGTGGCTGTGGCGATTTGGAATGGAGAGGGAGAGCTTCTGGAGAGAAATTATTGGGGAGAAATATGGTGTCTTGGAGGGGGGGTGGTGCTCGGGTGAGGGTCGTGGTTCCTATGGGATGAGCTTGTGGAGGTATATCAGGAAAGGATGGAGTGATTTTCAGAATAGGTTGGCTTTTGTGGTGGGGAACGGTACGAATGTCAGATTTTGGGACGATTGTTGGTGCGGAGATCAAACATTGAAAGTGCGGTTTCCCTCTTTACATCGCATTGCCCTGGAGCCTGCAGTTATGGTGAGTGACGCTATGGCTATATCTAATGGGAATCCTAGCTGGAACATCGTTTTCGGAAGGGGCTTACATGATTGGGAGCTGGATGATTATGCATTGTTTTTGGCCTCCCTGTATGAGGCGCACATTCAGGTAGGAGAGGATGATTGTAGCAGGTGGAGGGTGGCACGGAATGGTTTGTTCTCTGTTCGTACTTATTTCAGATCCTTGGTAGATCCTGCTGAGAGTTCATTCCCCTGGAAAAGGGTCTGGCAAAGTAAATTACCTCCAAGGGTGGCGTTCTTACTGTGGACGGTTGTGAGGGGACAGGTGTTAACAGCGGATAATCTTCGAAGAAAGGGATATTGTATAATGAAATGGTGCTATTTGTGTAAGAGGGATGGAGAGACGATCAATCATCTATTCATCCATTGTGACGGTGTCATCTATTCATCTATTCGATTTTGTTTAGTTGGTTTAATGCTGCAACCACTAGTCCGAAAGAAGGGTTGCCTAATTTTTTATCGTTCCTTTCTTGTTTAAACTGATAATGCACTCCTTGTGTGTTATCTTTTGATTTTGATTTATAAAATACGTGATTACCTATCAAAAAAAAATTATGGCAAAGATGTTGCAGCCCTTCTGCCTCCAATACAAGTAAATTGTATCTTCAAACAGTTTGGTTGCACATTAGTGGGTGGTTAACGTCCATCCTCTACACCTCTGCACATCTGATGGCTTTCAAGCATATGTTTCTTTTGTAGTTTTTCTTTCCTGAAATTGTAGTCTCTGCCTAAATAATTGAAGCACTATCCAGTGACTTGACTTTTTTCTTGGATGCAAGAAATCAGGAGAGTTCTCTCCTTAAAAGTGCCAGAGACGTACAAAGGGCTACTGTTGTTAGAGATCGACAGAGTAGCAAATGTAAGAAAACTTTCATCCTATAGTATTGCTCTTCCTGTTCTATTTTCTGCAAAGTAATTTTTGCCTTTTTGATGCTCTTTATATGGTCATACTACCAACAAACACTGCCTATCTTCGTAGAATATTTGTACTAAACTGGCAATTTCTAAAGTAATATATTTTAGCTTCAGATATTGTTGGCCATTACACCTGGATTAATATTGCCAATAGATAATTCCTCTCTTTTAAGTTTATTACATTTTAATCCATTTACCTTGGTATTTGACCTTCTAGAAAATTTTCTAGTATCAATAAAATCGAATATGTTTTTTTTTTCCCTTCCTTCAAGTGAGGCAATGGACCATTAAACAATGCAGTATAAAGGTAGTTTAAGACCTCTCTCTCAGTTACCACAGTGGGATGTGGTTGATCAACATCTTGGCTGACAATCACAAAGCATTTAGGCTGTTTTTGTGCTTATTTTAACTTCTAAACAATTGTATTTCTTTCATGTCGTCTACAATCAACAATTGTGTATTTCTTTCATGTTGTCTACAATCTTACTAAAAGATGCAAACAGAATTTGGCCACAGCTCTTATCACCTATACGTGTGTGTGATGGTAGTGCCTGGATGAACAATGAGGAGGTTTTGGAACTTCTTAGAGCATTGACCAATGATAACATAAAATTCTATAAAGCGTGACAGAAATAACATTTGTTTTGGGGTAAAAGCAGTGACATTTTCAATCAGAGTTAGAAGTGAGATTTATATTAATTTTAATGCTACTGTTTAGTCTCTCTCTTTCTTCCCTTGAAAATGGTTCTCAGTTTTTCTTGTATCATATTTAAATTCTTCAGAGTAGGTTTATCTGGTGGCTGACTTTTTGGTCTCAAGGAAGTTAATCAGCTTGAGCACTATAGAGGCTAAACCTAATTCCTTTTCTGATTCTTAGAACACTGTCTCCTTGCTTTTTCGTCTTTTCTAGTGAAACAAAAAATGATAAAGTTACAATATATGTCACTGATATCATCTTACACATTTCTTTTGTTGCTTGAGCATCACTATAGAACTTGGAATGTTTATCTGTATATTTTGTATAACTATATTACAGGCTGTCAGACTCTTTTAATAAGCTTTCTGACACTTTTTGTTTGTTTCCTGGACTTCAGGATTATAAAGTTCACCGCGATGAGATACACTCTAAGCTGGTTCAGATAATGAGAGAAAGATTGGTGGTTCATCTACGTAGCTTGCCACAAATTGTTGAGAGTTGGAATAGATCTGAGGATTCTGATCCACAGCCGAGTCAGTTTGTTCGGTCTCTCACAAAGGTAGATAAGGTGCCATTTTTATGTAAATTTCCAGCCATGGGTTGGGTTGATGAAAAATGCCCATTTGTTACTGACCTCCTGCTTTCCGGGAGATGTCAAGCAGTATGATGGGAGATCTTGAGATGCAGTATTGATTTATTTTCTTATTGCATTATACTTATCTAAGGTGGGAAAAAAAAAAGCTTTCGGAGATATAGAATGAATGCTGATTTGAAATGAAAAATGTCGAAGCAAATTGAAAAATTTCTGCGAAGAGATGAGAAAGTAATTATTAATTTGTTGCTCCATTTTATCAGTTACCTCTGTGTTAATTTCAGTTTGCGGTTGCTATCGTTTCAGAGATATAAAACTACTGTGAACTTGCAATTACTCAATGACCGATCATCTGCTTTTGTTGCTCGCTTTGGCCAGTTGTTGATGTGCTAATTCCATATGAAAATAGTGTGTGTTCTTCAAAAACTTGAACAGATTGCCGAACTGCTGTAAAATTTTAATGCTGTTAATTTCTCCTCCTAAGCAAACAACTTTTTATCAATAAAAAAATAGTTTTTTAAAATAAAAATAAGTATGTGTGCAATGCCCACCATCAAGTGGTTTTCTTGGTTTCATCTTGATGGACCCTTTATTGAACTCTTATGATTTTAGTTTCGATTATCTTCCATTGGTTGACTCAGGTTGCAGAAATATAGTGATTTCTTTACTTCTTCTCGCATACCCGTGTAATTTTGTACTGGGCGAAGAAATGAAGGTGACATGTCACCTTTTGGGGTGAGCCGCTGTGCTTGTTAATCTACAGGAATGCACCAGTAAAAAAGTGATTGTGATTTCTTTGAGGAAGTAGCTGTTTGCAGCTCTAGCTTCACTTTCATAGGGATGATACCAAAGCTACCTTAGACACTGTTCAGCCTCATCCTAATGGCTACATCATTTATGCAAGAAAAATAGATGTGTACACACATTTGTGGCAGTAAATCTAGTAAAATTCAAAATCTGGTTTAGTATCTTGTGTTTCCTGGAGTCATTGAATTAACTTTTGCTATTGTCTTTTAAGTCAGAAGAGAAAGCTCGCATTTAGTGCTTCTGAGATAGGAAATTTTATATTTAGTTTACTTCTCTGGAACAGATCAAATAGTGTGTACCCCTTTTGGTTTATATTTTCTATAACTCCGAATGCTTTCCAATCATTGAATGCAACTTTTCACTGATTTTTGCCTTTTAATTTGTTAATTCAGGAAGTTGGTTATCTTCAACGTACATTATCTAAACATCTGCTTGAAGAGGATGTTCAAGCTATTTTTGGGTAAGACCTTACTGTCAGAAGTCAGGTTCACCAGACCTTTTCATTCATCGTCTTTCTCTTCTCAAAAGTTTGGTTATTTCATTCAAACACTGCTAGTTAGAATGTTTATATTTGGTTGAAAATATATTTACATTTGGACGTTTTTAGATATGTTTTGTATTTTCTGATTGATGCTTATTTCACATGCTAATTGCAGGCAAGTTGTTGTAATCTTCCATTCTCAAATTTCTGAAGCATTTAAATCATTGGAGATAAACAGTCCACAAGCAAAGAGCAGGTATCAATGACCTTTATACAGCAGTACTTTGTACACCAAGTGTTTCTGAGATGTTTATCAGATGATGTTAGCTTTATAGAATCTTTTTTGATGCCTCTTCCAAGTGTCTTCTAACCACAAACTATGAAGTACATTTTTTTGTTCATTTGCTTCTGCTATTCAAACATTCGGGATATCCTGTGCCAGGCTCTATTGTGACATTCAGCATATCCTTGGGTGCATCAGATCATTACCTTCTGTTAATTTGGGTGAATCCAGTCCACCAAATTGGGGACAACTTGATGAATTCTTGGCACAAAATTTTGGCACCGAAGCTAGTGAATAGATTCTCTGTGAAGTATATATTTGGACGAAGGCTGACCATTACTAATTACATCAAGCTAGTAGCCTGTGCATCAAGTTGTTACTTCGAACGAGGTAAACAAGCTACACTTACTGTTGTATGACTATTTTGTTGAATTTCAGTAGTACATATTCAAACTAATAGTTTAATTGCAAAAGTTCAAGGGCCAATATTTCACTAAATGTTATGATCAATGTGCAAAGTTGCATGGCGAGAAATTATACTAATCTGAATGCATTTTAAATGGCATGCGTATGAATCCAGGGTGAAGATAGAAAGGTGCTGTCAATTTATCCTGAGTATAACACATCCCAATTAAGCCCTTTAATTAACCGCATGAGGTGTACTCCTGTAACATTTCAAACAGTTGAACTAAACTGAACTGAACTGAATGGAATCAAATTCAAGTGTCTCACGTGGAATGATAGTCTATAATAGTCAAATTGAAATTAATCATGTAATTGCAGTGCAGGGGTTGGGTGGCTTCAGCAAGTTCCCATAGTCATGTACGAAGGGCATCTAATATTTATGCTAGTTTTATCAAGCACATAGTTTGTCTTATATGGACAAGTTTGAGAATGCATTGGAATTTGGACTCCGTGCATTTTTTCCATGTTTTTAATAATTCTACTCATTTCAGTAATATGATATGCTGATTTACAAAGTGCGCAGAAATTCATTGGCAAACAAGAATTCATTGCAATCTTTCTTTCGTTTATTGTGCTATGATTTTTACAGGGAGTAAGCATGCAGAATATATTGCCGCGATCCCATGCTCAGTAGTTTTATACGCAATTTTGAATGATTCATGGTGCTTGCTTTTTGTAGGAAAAACAATAAAATATGAGTGTATTCTTTCGTGACAAATTTCATTTTCGTTTTCCTGACATGTCAAAGACTTTGTTCCCCATGCACATTTGCAAACAAGGGTACTTGAAAATTTGATGACAACATGACATAGAAAACTGTTATCATATGCACATTTTGCAATCAAGAATCACTAGCTATGCATGGAATATCCAAGAATTAATAAAAAGGAAACATTTCCATAGTGGGTTCTATACATATTTCTAAGACGTAATTTCCCGGCCTAATCACTAATCAAAGTTTGGGTTCTTCGGTTCATTAAAAATAACTGAAAATTATCGGTTCAACATTAGCACTACCATAATATCAAAGTAAATCTTGAAACAATGTCAAATTACCTTTTATACTAGCACATCACTGAACCCAAATTAATAAAAAAAGATAATAATAATAATAATAATAATAATAATAATAATAATAAATTGCTTTACGAATGCATTTGTTCAGTCGTTGGGTGTAATCTCCAACACAATTTCTTTTCCCACATTAACATACCCATTGCTGTTGGCTTTAGTTCTTATCTCCAAGTGTCTATTCTCCACTCCCATTCTAGTAACTAGCTTTTGTTCAATCCTAGAAAAGTCAACTTGTCTATAATCCACTTCTGATTAAGAGCAAAATTCTTCGTTCAAAACCTGGATTTATGTATTACTCTATTCCTTAGTATGTCACCATTAAATTTTATCGTTCCCATTTCCTACATCAATTCCCTCAAGCTGTTTTCTCGTGTTGTCATTGATATTCCCTTCCTGAACATGCACGTTGATATGATCAGGGGATGCATCGAGCTTGACATGACTTCTTGTGAATTTGCAGAACGTGAGGTCGAACCAGTTCCCTCTTGGAAAATTTGTATCAAAATCCTCTTACCAAGTAGAAACTGCGAGCTGATGTTTGTATCCGAAGAAAATGGTAATGCCTTTAGAGTATGCATCTTACATAGAATATTTTTGAGAACAATGCAAAAGCCGTATTGTTAAACTTACAACTCCTCATTAGCCAAGAATTTTTATTATAGAAATGTGTGTTCAAATACTGGGAGGTTCGATTGCCATTTAGCGCATTACCTTGTAAGTAGAGATTATTTGTATTATTGGTTGAAGAAAGTATGTTATTTTTTGATAAGAAAATTGGATCTTCATTTGATTTGTGTCATGTTTATATCTCGAAAAACCAAAAATCATACGTTACACTAACAGCCCCGAGTTAGAAAACTACATTAGCTCGTACTTTTAATTGAAGTGCAATGCAAGATTCAACCTAAGTCTGTAGGAAATCGGCTTTCGATGCTTGTGTGAACGCATAGTTGATCGGAAAAAAAGAAATGAAAACCTTGTGTGAATACAATAAACTTGTAGGGAAAATGGATCCAAATTTGCCAAATGAAAAGAGGGTCTCTAAGTCATTGTATATCGTTCATTGAGGGGCCCATCTTGACCAAACTATGCCATAGACAGGAGGGTCTGTTGAACTCTAGGAATTCTCTTCAAAATGGTTGATTTGGAACTTTTCGAGAAAAAAAAAATTGCTAGCACAGTTTTACCAGAAAAATAAGTTGGTTCAACAAATTTTGGTAGGAAAAATTAGAGGTTGGGTCCCACCAATTTGTAACAATCACATTTTTCGATTTTTCTAGGTGCAAAGTAGGTAAATACTAAATTTTAACGAAAGAAAAAGGAAAGGAAAATAGCAGAGCCCTAGCCGAGTTCGAGGTTGACAGACATGGTACATTAATATATAAAAGTATTTGACCCATGTATCTTGTCATTTTTATTTATTTATTTAATATTTTTCTGTTTAAATTTGAGTTGAACTTCCAGGAAGACTAAGCATGGATGAAATCATAAATGTTGAAAATGGATGTGGCTGCTATTGTAAAATGTTTTTTGCATTGTGAAACTGTAGTATCTCCTCTCTTTATGTACACACAATAAAATAAGGGTTTTTCCAAATAAAGATAGAGGGCCGCGTGCACAAGTCTTATTGGATACTGTTCAAAGTTGACTTTACAGCTCTATATAATATAACTCTTTCAATCTCACATCGCTTCATATCAAAATCAGCAATGGAAGTTTTAGCTCTACTTGCCCTTTCTCTATCTCTAATTGTTTTCGCTCTTTTCCTTGCCTTCCGCAGCCGGTCGGACGGTGCAAAACTTCCGCCTGGTAGCTTTGGGTGGCCTATAATGGGAGAAACTATCGAATTCTTGTTCGGCAAACCGGAGAAGTTCGTCGGTCACAGAATGAACAAATACTCACCACACATCTTCAAAACCAAAATACTCGGAGAGAAAACTGCTGTTTTTTGCGGCCCTAATGGCCATAAATTTCTATTTTCTAATGAACAAAAATACTTCACTTCCTTCCGCCCCCACCCTATGCAATACCTCTTCCGTTCCTACCGAAACAACACGGCGGCTCCTCCACCACCATCATCATCGCGAACTGATGAGGTGAAATCGATTCGACAACCGGGGTTCTTCAAACCAGAAGCCTTGATGAGATTTTTGGGGAAAATGGATTCCATTACACAACAACAACTACAAATGCATTGGAATCATGACAAAAATAGGGTTAAAGTTTACCCTCTTGCCAAAAGCATAACCCTAACACTTGCTTCTCACTTCTTTCTAGGAATCAACAATCCAGAGCGTATTTCGCGGCTTGTAAAACACTTCGATGATGTTACGTTGGGCATGCATTCGATCATGTTGAACATTCCGGGGACTGTTTTTTACCGCGCAAATAAAGCGGCTTCCGCTATTAGGAACGAACTTTTGAATGTTATAAAAGAGAAGAAACTGGCTATGGCTACCGGAGCTCCGGTGCAAGATATATTGTCTCATATGATTGTTGTTACCGACCCGAATGGCCGATCCATGCCCGACGCTGAAATTGCTGATAAAATAATGGGGTTGCTAACTGCGGGATACAGTACAGTTGCTACCACCATAACTTTCTTGATGAAATATGTTGGCCTTAGCCCCGAAATTTACGAAAAGATCAGAGCAGGTAATTCCTGGCCAAACTCTTTAATTCTTATATTCATTTTGCAAAATCCAAAAATTTTCCATTCTTCAAAAAAATCACTATACAAAACATCATTTTTTTCCTGTGGATTATACGTACTGATTTGTAAATGTAGAGCAAGTGGAGATTGCAGCCTCTAAGAAGAATGGTGAATTACTGGAATGGGAAGACGTACAGAAAATGAAATATTCGTGGAACGTCATATGTGAAACAATGAGACTGGTTCCCCCTCTTCAAGGAACTTTTAGAGAAGTCTTGACGGAATTTACCTATAATGGTTACACAGTTCCAAAGGGTTGGAAGGTAAAAACAGTGTTACAAATTGATTCCTAAAGACCTAATCCCTTATTATTTAAGTAGCTCGAAATAAAAATGCACTAACAGGACTAATGAAAAAAGTAAGTTTCTGATATGGTTATGCTCCACACAATCCAATCCAATCTATGGACATATATTCAAAGATAAATTTGTAAATAGTTTCAACAAATTAAACAGGCATAATTTGTAAGTTTGATTATGTGTGCAGGCGTATTGGACTGTGAGCACGACCAACACAAACCCTGAATATTTCCGGAACCCGGAGAAGTTTGATCCATCAAGGTACGACGAAGGTGAAACACCGGAACCGTATACTTATGTACCGTTCGGGGGAGGGCCGAGAATGTGCCCCGGAAAAGAGTATGCTAGGCTGGCCATATTGGCTTTCATTCATAATGTGGTAAAAAAGTACAAATGGGAAGTGATTGATCCTAATGAGAAGGTTGAAGGCGATATGATGCCGGAGCCGGAAAAGGGGCTTCCGATATGGCTGCACCACCACCACCACTAGTCTAGGGTGCATGCGACGTCAAAGTTTAATTAGGTTGCCAAACACACATTTGACTTTTTAAATAAGCATCTTGTTAGTTACAAATCGATGCTCAGTTGTAACTTTTTTTATAAAAGAAGGAAGAATTCAGTTGGCGTATTGCAACACAAATCCCAGGTGAACTGCTGGTTGTTTGACTAAAATCTTTTTAATTTCAAACAGAATTAAAGTACGAGCTACTAAACAAAACTATATATGAAGTGAGTCTATAGCTTACATTATTATTTTTATTTAACCATGCAAAACAGCATCATATGCCGAACATGCTTTTGTTGTTATGTCTTCAAACGTTTCTTCTTCGTTTTTATTTTTCTTTCTGATTGATACGAACATATTTAGTATGGAACACCGCAAACATCTCACTTGCTTTATCCCTTAATTCCTTAGTCCTTATTAGTAGTGTTGTATCCAACGTTAAACATGGGTTCAAAAGCACTTCTGTTATTTATTTTTCACGAATTTCAAGTGAATATGTCCAAAAACAAGGAGGTATATTTTTAATGCATATTTGTATAATACTACACACGAGAAAACAAATAATTTTTTTGAGAATTTTGAGTACTTAGCCACCTCTTCAATGGATACATACATTTTATTATGAATTATGCTATTTGTACATTGATTGTTGATATTCAATGATGTATAAAAATCTATATCATTGACTGTTTTAAGCGTTGTTAAAATTGATGGCAAAAAATGTTGACCACTGTCAACCAAATTTTACCTATTGCAAAACTATTTTATTATTGAAGTTCTTATTTAGAAGGAAACTATTAAACAAAATTAAAATAATTTAATCAATACTAATAAGATCATTCTAAATTAATATAATCATATGGTATAGTTAATTATGTCATTTCTTGCATTAGCTAATAAATTATTGGTTGTCAATCCTAAAATTAGTCCCTTGTGGTTATCGTTACGTCTAGCTTAATCTTTTAGATGGAATCATAGATGAGAGGACATCATTATTAATCTCCTCCTCTTCATCATCATCACAATCATCAACAATCCAACATTATTCATTACTAACATCACTTGCTAGTAAAACTAGATAAAGACATAAGAAGGAGGTTCATGCTCAACGTAGTTAGTTTGCAACTCAAAGAAAAATTAGTTTTGATTTTTGATTTTTTTAAAAAACATCAAAACCCTTCAAATTGCTATAGATAATTCATGACTTAAGTGATTTTGGTTAATTTGAATTGTTTGGGCTCAATTTGCTATTTCTTTTTTTATTTAAAGTTATAAAAATGGATTGAACTGTGTTAGACTAATTTTGACATAATTTTTAACAAATGCGTGCTCATTTTGGTGTTTAAGCGTGCATATATTTTTGTGACCATTTAAAGCTCCAGACCATCCCCACAACCGAAACACACTCAGTCCCAATCAAGAGTTGCACCTGTCTGATACAACCTTTGAGCTCCAAACCAAACACGATCCAATTGCTGGGCCAGTTTACGATTCACCCCAGCACACCAATGCCAGAGCCAGCCAACACACCACAAACACAGACACAACATCACAAAAAAGACAAACTAAACTACACAAAGCAACCCAAACTCGACAACACACAAACAAAAAGACACCAACAACAAACCAAACCGCCGGCAAGAGGCTCGACAGCACACCCTCCCCCAGCAACTACAGAACGAAACCGGTCGAACAGAGGACCCAGCTAGTGTACATGGGGTCAAATATGAGTGAGGGGCGAGTGAACGGCTTTTTGAGGGGTTCAGAATCGGCGTGCCCGTCGGAGGGGCAGTGAAATCGCCTGGTTTCACTTCGAAATTAAAGGGAAATGGGATAGGGTTTGGTTTTGTGTTTTTTTAAAGGAAATTGCAAATCAGCTCCTCCAATTTTGAAGGGGAATCGGTTTGTTAATTTAGGTTTCAATTAGAACAACGAAGTCCCTTAATTTTGTTCAGTGACCATTTTTGAAAGTGACTGAAAGTTGAGTGACCGTCTCTGCAATTTTGGAACTTCAGTGACCATTTGTGAAATTAACCCAATTACAATACCAAAGCCTCAAATTCATTAAAAAAAAAAAAAAGTATTATAATTTGATTTTTTCGTTAATGCACGTAAAAATGATTGAAAGCGCGTTCAATATCAAAATCTCAGAGGTATTACAAATTTTACAGAGTCTGTTGCATTTGCATCTTCAAAAATTCTTTACAAGATCTCATTAGTTGCTCGAGTACAACGTTTTCACTTCTGGCGACAAGGATGCTTACCTCATGCATTAATGCAACCAGAGTGTCCTTCTGAAACCGGTGGCCATTCTCCGTTAAGATTTTCGTCCAAGACTTTTTGGAAAATACATGTACCCCAATCCAAGGAGAGCTAAGAAAGCTAGAGAGAGCAGCATTACAGTCACCCTCCTCCAATCTTGAGCAAAAAACTTCTGTAATAAGAGTAGGTGGTGGAATCCGTTCAGCCTCTACCAAGTGCTTCCATGTTGTCTCCAACAGTTTCTTCTAGAAAAGCCAATATGCTAGTTAGTATTTTTGGCTTTTGCCAACCAAATATACTATAGTAACTAACATCACATTCCATATATAATAAATAAAAACTTCTTTGCCGTCAAATTTTAAGAATTTGACCAACGTATATGCAATCAAGAAAGCTGCTTTTGTTGTTCGTCTCCAGGTTTAAAGCTTTTTCAGTTCCCGAAAGAACCCTCTATTTTAGATTTTTGCAAAATTTTAGGCCTCATACATAATCATTCTGAATGAGAGAGACGATTTAAAAAATACCTTTCCAGCACTACGTGCATCCAATATGATCCGAAGGTGACGTTTAGCATTGAAATGGTGTCCATATTGCAGCATTTGTGTATATACAAACTCAACATCATCCCACTTCTTCTCCGCAGCGCATGCATCTAACATCGTGTTGAATGAGTAAATATCAGGTAGAATCCTATCTTTATAATCCGATTTCTGGTAAACCGAGTTGCCATTTTCCAATAATTTTAGAAACAATAGTTTGGCTTCTTCGAACATCCCGAGATCCAAGAAAGCTTTCAGCATTATATTACAAGTTATCAAATTTGGAGAGCAGAACTTCTGCATGTAATTAAAGACATACACCCCATTTTGAATGTCACCAGAATCAAGACAGGCTTGAATTAAACCGGTGTAAGTTACTACAAGAGGTTTGCTTGCAACTTTGCATATCTTGTCAATCTGCAGCAAACAAAAAAAAAAAGTAGGTTGAAACTGAGTACAATGGGAAAGAGTTGCGTTAAGAGAATCCCATGTTTACTAAATGGAGATATTCATGGTTGTACGTTATAAACCACGAGGTAAGTAGCATTGTAAGGAAGTTTATATCTACATATATCTATAGACACTGAAACTTGCAAGCTGGACAATGCAAAACAAAAACGATGGAAATCATTTTTTCCTGTTCACTTCCCATATCTTACATCCTATTCCAAAGATCAAAAGAATGGTGTGCAAGAAATGAGGCATGGTATAAGAACAAAAATTGGGATAGTAAAATCCCACAGCCCGGTTAAATAGAATTCAACGAGATTTATATGCAGAACCTGATACCTTGAAAATTGATTCATACCTCACGTTTTTCAATCCCAACCTCTCAATGTCACTGAAGGTGAAGCACAATCAGAAATGCACTATACTATTTTGATGTTCCACGTTATTTATGCTTGTTACGGGAAATACAGGAATCAAGTAACATTAATGTACAGTAAACCAGAAGAAACCTACTTGCTTCAGAGCCTCCTGGCACCTTCCTGCACTACAAAGGCAACGAGCAAGGTCATAATACAGACCAGCTGTACCAACTATTCCGCGCCTCTCCATGTCTTCAACAGCCATTATAGCCTCATCAGCTTTACCTTCCTTCCAAAGAGTATTCACAACAACTACAGACAATATGAGAGAATAATTAACAGAGGAACAATCTGCATTGATTTAGGCAAAATATATCTTTTACGAAATTACCTTTATATGTCAAAGCATTCGGTATGCATGATTTCTGCACTTTCTTGAAAAAATCATGGACCAAGTTGTACTTGCCGCATGCAAACATTAACTGCTCCAATTAAGAATTAGTTAAGCTACCAATAAATTGTATCACTGAGCAGACACTTTTTATATTATTATTATTATTATTTTGCAATCAGCATACTCCATGATACCATAAGTGGGAAAAAATGAGCTAGAACAGTTCCCAAAAAAAATGAAAACCTTAAAAGGCAAAGTTGTTTTTGATTATTTTGTATGAACTAAAAATATTAATTATCAATATAAAGCCATCCAGTCCAAATAATGAAGTAATACAGACAATTCAGGAAAAAAAACAGTTGTGTATCAGTGGTAGAGAAACTATCTAGTTACTTTAGATCTTTTAGCAAAGCTTGTGTATAAGCGGTAGAGAAACTATCTAGTCAATTTAGATCATTTAGCAAAACTAGCAATAAAGTGAACAGATTGGTGAAAAATGATTAATGTAACTGACCTCAAATTTAATGGAAACAAGGCATAGTTTGTTGTTTGAGAAAAGCAGAATGCACACTAAAAATCTGGATTCTTTTTATTTGAGAACTTAAAAGAAATATGAATGTGAATGTTAAACAGAGAGCATACTGGGACGCTTTTAGTATAAGTGAATCTAGTTTAGGCACCCGCGTTGTGCTGCTCAGAAACATGGTTGGCCCAAGTGAAGAGGATGATGATTTAGAAGGTGAGGTAGCAGAGTAGTGTTCTAAATTTGGGGCGGTGACTCGCGTCCTAATATTTGAGATTACAGAACCAAGTTTCCCACATGATGAAGCCGTAAGAATCTTTGTTCAGTTTGAAGGAGCAGAACACGCAACTTAAGCCTTTATTGAACTTGAAGGTTGCTTATTTGGGGGTCAGACTATTCGTGCTTGTTTCTACGATGAGGAGAGGTTCGAAAATAATGAGTTGGCTCCTCTTTTTTTCCAGGAGAAATCCCTGTATAAGCACTTTTTAGAACGTTACACAACAGCTACGATCACAAAAAAAGGGAAGAAAAGGACTACAGGGAAGAGAGGAAGAAGACTGGATGCTCCTCCCGCCATGATGGAAGCAACCAAGTTCAGCACTGAACTAAGAAAATGAGAGAAAATCCTAAGAAAGTGGCTCTGATACTATATCAAATATACTTAATGATACTCAATAAAACTCAATGCCTCTTAACGTGAGAGGTTCTCTCATTATATATAATCAAAATCACAACTAACTATGGTAGCTATCAATTACAATATTCACTAATGGTAACCTATTAAATATGGTAGCTTTCCTTATATTCCACTGACGGCTGCAAACAAGGCTAAACAAGCGGGCATCAGGGTATTACCTCCATAACTAATCCATAAGTTGTGCTTAAAGGTTGTTGACCCTGATGCTTTAGCTCCTGTAGAACCCAGAAAGCGCCTTCCCATTTCTTACGCCGAACACATGCATTAAGGACCTGTGCACAAATACACACTAGCATTTTAATATCAACAAAATATTTAAAAAGCATTCAAATGATAGTTGTGCATTCAGAACGCCGAAACTTTAACAGAAGAACAATAATTCCAGATTTTTAACAGGCCACATAAATAAACAGACTAGTAATATGTGCTAAAAACTTATAACTGAATCATAGAAACGGTTTTCGAAGGAGAAGAGAGAGACTTGTTTTTGCATAAGTAACTTCATAATGAGTTATGCTACATGCACACCCCCGTTTACCACTTCGTTTACAGAATTTATACTTGACAAAATCTCACACAATCTTCTCAACGAACACATTTAGTCCGGCCGCTGCAATTCTGCCACGCAGGCATCTGTACACCAGGGTGGCAAGAAATAGATTTTCCCTTCCACCAAAAGAATTTGTAGAAATAGTACTCAAGTGTCACTGCGCACTTATGCAGGTATCAATAAATATTTTATCATTTGTGCAGTCCCAAAACAAGTATACATGTTGGCGTTTTACATTCTAAACTGAAGATACGTGACTTTACAGTTCCTTAAGAAATTATGCATTGAAAAGAGGGACGCACGAGCAATAAATTGTTTTAGCATACATCAGTATCGCACATTTTAATTACAGTAATCGACAGATTGAAACATCAATCCAGAGTTTGTATTTCCTCTCTTTTGACAAGATGTTAAATCATCATTGTTTACGATAAAGAAGAAAGGTGTATTGTTAATGAAAACATAAAGTACTACTAACAGCGTTGTAGATGATAACATCTGGTTCCAATCGTGGATCCCACTTTTCAAGGATCATAGTCTTAAACTTCTTTTTGGGAGGAGACCGCATGATATCAACAACGTCAAACAGTTCCTTCATATGCCCCGCTTGTCCAAGAGTCACAGCGATACAATGATATGCGACGATGTCCGGGTATGAAGCCATGTGCTCCTGTTAGGAGTGGAGAAAGAAGCTAAATCAACTCGTGTCTTTTCTCCTCCCCATTTTTTGAATATATTAACAGAGATGCACTTTACAAAGTTTTACCAGCATTTGGCGAAACAAATTGAGTGCTTCCACTGGCCTCCTTGCCTTTCCAAGAGCATCCAATGCAGCAGTATAAATAAATCTGGAAAACACGAGTGTCCAAAATAAAAATTGCAAATGACTCCGCATAAAGCATAGAAGTGGTAGGCAATTAAATGAATGGGCTAAAAGAAAGATAAACATTTTTAGCCCTCTGATTTTTCCCTCTCTTTCCAGGAAGCTTCTAAATGAAGAATATCAAGAGCTAGGTATAGGCATCTCAGACAGCAATGCTGTTGATTGAGAGAAATATTGTCAAAATTAATCACTTGATCAGTTCTCAAGCCCTCAAAATAACCTTCTTTTTCTTTTCAAGGTTTATCAATTAAGATACTAATGATGAGAATGGAAAATTGGTGTAAGACAGAAACAAAATAGCATACCGTATCTTGTGCGATTTGAAGCGTTCACGTGATTGAATCCATTCAATAACCTGCAGCACACGCTTCCAGTTTCCAAGCTTACCCAATATCTGGATAATCCTCATAATAGAATGGTCTGAGAATCTGATCTGAGCACTTCGCATCATTTTAGTGAACTTCCATTCAGGCATGTTAATGTCTGCAGCATTCAGACTGTAAAAGTAAACTACTTTACTATGAGACGGAATAGAGAACCAAAATCACCTAATTGAGCTCTTCAATATTAACGAATCTAAAACAACACATATCAAGAGCTGCAACAATTGGTATTATCTTGATAGACATAAAAATTTAACCCCGATTTATAAGGCTTCACATTCAAAATAGAATGACATATAGTATTTACTCGAGATACAATTCACTAACATCCTAACTGGAGGCAGTACCCAAGAAGATGTGAAATATCATTCTTGTTTCTTTTTTTTCTTTCTTTTTGGAATACTGATAGGAAACACTGGTCTAAGAAAAAAAATACTGGCTTTGGTATTTTCAGCACATATAATACTCACAAATTTTGACTTCCCTGCAGAATCTCAGCCTAAACATCTCATGTAGATATTTTAACTGAGCATAATATCAGATACTAAGATGCAATATTATTAAAATTCAAATGTCATGCATTTGAGTAAATTCAGCCAATGCTAGAATGGTCACACAGCGAACAAGGACAAATAGGACAGAGAACTGAAGGGCAACTTTCAGGCCAAACACAACTAAATTTCCTATAACCAACTAATAAAATAGAGGTTTCGAGCTTATAGCACCGAGACGTAATATTTGTATTAACTGAAGTCTGACATTTAGTTGATAACCAAAATCACATACCCAAAAGATCATGTCCAACCATTTAAAGGCTGGCATGTACAAAGAAAAAGAAAAAAAAATGACTGCTTATCATAATCCAAAAATGGCTAATTATAACTCACCACCTAGCTAGCTTCTGAAGTCTCTCCTCCATGTCCACCCTTGAAATTCTTGGCATGTCAATAACATTGTGTTCATTCTCCAGTGACATGAATGCAGCTCTTTCCATGTCCAAATTCTCACTATTTCTCGTAACCCTAATCTGTTTTATATTGTTATCAGTTACCTTTTTTGATGCAATTTTCCTGTAGGAGACACCCTTTTCTAATTTTTCTTTAACAATCATCTTATCACTATCCTCCTCTTTCTCAACTCTAAAATCCTCAAAATCTGTAAATTTAGTACTTCCTTCTCCCTCCTTCTTGCCCTTGAAATGCTTCTTTTTCCTCAAACTATTACTACTGTGATTATTACTATCTCTGTCGATTTTGACATTCTCCATGGCCTTCAAATAGTCGTCGAATGATGGCTTGAATTCAAACTCTTTCTTTTCGATAATTACCCCACCGCCATTACTCAATGCGCTGCTCGTTGTAATCCCGCTCTGCTTCTTCGTTTTTCGAGGAATTCCAAAAAAGGGGCTATGAGAAATCGAAAACCTACATGGGAAAAGTGAGCTATGAATTATTGAAGACAGAGGTTCAATGGCTACTTCAGTTAAAAATGCTGCACCCGCCATATCGAGTTTTCACTTCGACATAATATCAAAGCTTTTGCTGAAACAGAAAATTTGATAAAAAAAAAAAATAATAATAGTTTTGAGGTTGATTAACTGCTGAATCGCAGAAAGATACTTTTAAACCCAAATTTCAGAAGATAATTTGTGAAGAAATAAAATATTTTGTGAACCCTCCCGTGTTATCTGGATTCAACTGAAGTTGTCAAGGGGACCAATACAGATAAAATTGCTATTCTGCAAAGTGCGCTTCATCCTCGAGTACAATTTCTGGTAAAGGGCTATTTTGATTGTCGTCCCATTTTAAAAGACTACTATGAGCCTCCAAACTTAGTGGTAGGGTTGGACTAAATGTCAAATTGAACACGACCCTAGTCTAACGGATATCTAAATTGAGAATCGATGAGTTTGGTTCGATTCTCGATTTTTAGATCAAGAACCGAAAAATCGAATAAAAATCGAATATCCCTAATTTTTTTTTATCTTAAATAAGTCAAATTATTTTATTTTTTTTTAAATAAATTTGCTAACTAATTAAGCCCCTGTTTGTCTACCATTTTCCCAAAAATTATTTTCTACAGTAAACAATCTCCACAACATATTCACCTAATAAAATATTCTACACATAAACCAATAAAGTTACTTTAAATTTCAACCACACATTCTCCAAAAAATACTATTCATTACACCATTTTCCTCCCCATAATAGTAGACAAACGGGGCTAATTTATTCCAAATTCAAAATATGATTTAATATTTCTAATTTTCAGCCAAGTCCAATTTTATTCAAATTGACCTAATTTTATCAAAATCTCTTATTCTACCGTAGTGTCGTTTCTATCGTTCTACTATTGTGAATTCACTATCTTCCACTTCATGGGATTTTAACAATTAAATATATGAAGAAATTAACAAAAAAGGCGCAAAAGATATCATGAGATTGGACTACGCTATTTTGTAAGAGTAAAAATTAAACATATCATAGATGAATTAATGTAGCGTTGTTGTAAATATAAAAAATTAATTATTGTACGAAACTCGAGAACCGAATGGAACATGACTGAACCGAACATAAACGGGTCTATAATTAAATTTGGACTCAATAGTTTCACTTACTAAATACTCAAAAATTCGGATTCGATTTGGTTATAAAAAGAATCGAATTGGATCGGATCATGTCCAATCCTTCTTAATGGTGTCAAAACTGCAGGCGTTCAGGTCCAGGTGACTCAATTCATTGAGAATTCAAAAAGAAATTAGAAGAGTCCAGCTCGCTTCAGATTAGTCCATCAATTATGGTGAGCGGTATTGGTTCGACTTTTCAAGTCAACAATTCAAGAATATGGGTACCGTCGACTTGATTTATTATTGATGGATTTGCCATCAATATTTTGAAGAATTTTCAATTTAGGCTTAGATTATTATTTTATAGATGGGTAGGTTTATTCTAAGCAAGATTTAGAATTGAAAAGAGGATTCCTCACTTTTTCTCTCATTCGTGCAGGAGACTAGAAAAATAGATAGATTAAAGATATGTGAAAATGACATGAAATATTACTAAAAAAAATGCAACGAGTAGAAATCATGATAAAATGTCCCGATTTCGGAAGAGACGCAGCTATTCGTGGAAGTGGTATATAGGAGAAATATTTCTCATTCTTTAGCCAGTAAGATATTTGGCTATGAAAGAGAGAGGGATTTAATAGAACAAAATTGACCAATTGCTCAAATTTGAAACAAGTTTCTCCGAACAAACGAAAGAAGCACTTCAAGGAATGAATATTACCGTCTAGTTTAAATATCTTATTCCTCGAGAAAGAGAAAATCAAGGGGGGCAAAGAATCTGTCTCTTGATGAGTAAAGAATCGTCGAGTAGAAGTGCGATGTGTCTGAAAACTCGGGATCGTAAATGTATTCTGAAGAAGCAGCTATGTAATAACAGATTTATATATTTAAATCAAGTGTCAAATTTTGATGCGCCTTATAGCTCTATTTTTTTTAATATCATGTGTTTTCCTTAGAAACTTAGGCCCCGTTCTCTTTGTCGTTTTCAAGTCGTTTTCTGTTTTTAATTTTTCAAAACAGTGAAAACGCATTCTCTATCTTATTTTCGAAAACCCGTTTTTGAAAATGGAAAAAAAAAATACAACTAAAAAGGGAAAATGACCAAATCATCATTTTGGAAAATACAGTAAGGAAACAACGAAGATCACCAAAACACGGGAAACATCCTTTTCTCTCAACTCTCTCCCTCTCTCTCTCTCTCTCTCTCAAAACGCAGGCAACAGTTTCCCTCTCTCTCAACTCTCTCCTCCCTGTAAATCGATCTCATCTCACAAACCCACAACCAAAACAGATCTTGTTGCCAAATCAAGCACAGTAAACGGATCTTCAAATCAAGGGCTGTTTGTTTTAGTTTAGCCGAATCGAAGGCTTCACGACGGGCATTTTGAATCAAGGTGGGGCATCTTCAAATCAAGGTTTGAAATCTTTGCTTGTGATAATTTTAGGTTATTTTCTTGCTATTCCATGTCATATTTGTTGGGTCCGATTTCGCCTCTGTTTTTGTATTTGTTTGGTGTGAAAATTGTGGCGGATTGGATAATAGTTAGAGCGGTCAATTGTACGGGGGAAGGGTAGATGGTGGTGGAGGCGGAATTGCAGGTTGAATTCGTAGGGGGAAGGGTAGCTGGTGGTAGAGGCGTAATTGCAGGTTGATACGTTGTCGATGAGGGAAGAGGATTTCATTAGGTATAAATACTAGTCTACCGATTGCTATTAAATACGAATGGGGCAGATACATTGTTGATGACGAAACATGAACTATGATGCACTTATTTTATATTTCAATGGCTTCTGAAAGCAAGATAGTGGTGGGCATGGACTGAAACATGAACTATGTGGCTGGGTTGATTCTAGGGTGGCGTTCTTAGTACTGATTGCCTGTAGAGTAGAAGAAGTTGGATAAGTTGGTGTTTCCATATGCAAGGAGCTTGGGAGAATGCCATCCATCCTCTGTGCATTACAGTGTGTCTAGCTGGAGACTTAGAGCTACACTCTTCTTTGTTTTCCCTGTCATTTGGTGTTGTATATAACGTGTTTGTTAAAATACCTCTGTGACCGGTACTAGTCTCTCTCTCTCTCATGTTGTTTTTCATTGAAGACAGCCGAATGCCTTGCCTGAAGAATATTCGAGGGCCAACAAGGAGCTACGGAGGCTCGGAGATTCAATGGATCTTATAACGGAGTTGAGGACCAAACAGAAGGTAGTAGATTCATTTTAAGCCTGAAAATATTTGCTTACCATTGATATAATTTATTTTAGGAACTGGGGGAGATTAGGCCTCTTTGTTCGCAATGGACATATTCAAAATGTAGGTGGCTAGTACTATATTGGATATACATTACCAGTCCATTGCTTTTTTTAATTTTACAAGCAGAATTTTTAAGAGTACGACTTAAATAGAATTAAATCAGCTTTAGTTTACCTTATTTTTCTATGTAGAATAGAAAAAGGTTCCAGTTGTACTTAAATATTAGCATAGCTATATCTATTTGTTCCCATTTTTTATTCTTGATCAATTGTTATTCACTTTCATCATCTCATGTGTTTTCTATATCATCTGCTAGAACAAGGCCAAAGCACTTAAAGTATTGTGTGCAAAGTTATATGAGAGGGAAAGAACTAGTGGTTCACCACTGGGAAGAATGGCCACAATGGAGGAAGAGGAGCCTCCGACTTCAGCCGGTATAGAAAAGAGTAACCAAGTGGTGGTTACAAGAGCCAGGCCACAGAGGGCTAACAATAGGAAAGCTACATATGTTCTAAGCGATGATGATTCTGAAGATGCTGCTACTGCAGCTGTAGATTTGGACAGTGATGCAGCTGAATATTCAATCAGTGATGTTGCTGACGATGACTCTGACTTCAATTAAGAATAGTAATTCTTGTAGTTCATTTTAGAACATAGCAATCTATACTTTGGGAACTACTGAATTTCGTTTATAGCTGGTGAACTTGCTTGCTTCCAAGGAAAAGACAATTTTATCTAGTGTTTCATGATTAAATCAGTTGGGATTGGATTAATACATTGCAGAGTTGTAATAGCAAATTCAGTATTAGATTTCTTACCATCATTGATTCACATTCTTGCTTAGGATGGTAAAACATAAAATTTACATATATTTAATTAAATGAGTTTTAGATATTTTTCGAATTATTGGAAAGGATATTAGTAGTACGAGAATAATACAGTATAGGAAGTATTAAGGAAGAAAAATGACCTGAAATATTGCTAATAATATTGTCCATTTTTTTCAAATATTGAGTACCAAACATGCACCAAATGAATAAGACACCAAATGTCATCAATATGGAAATCTGACCTCGATAAGATTGATTTCAAAATATTTATTATCATGTTAACTTGAGATTAGTGCTCATTTTTTTGCAACTTGATTAGGTTTGGTTGTAACCTGGTGTTAGCTAATTCTTATGTACAAGGACAAAAATAAGGATTTATCAAATTTAATTTAGGTTGTATTTTTTTATATCTAGAAAAAAAAATTATTTCAAGATTCACCAATTTCAAAATTTATATGTTATTTAATACTATATTAACATTAAACCACTAAAATTTATTGAATAATCAAAATTTTTTTAATAAAATATTATTAAAAAAATTCTCAAAATTTCAAAGTAAACGCGTTTTCCATTTTTATGTTTTGGAAAACAGTTTTTCAAAATGACAAAAAGAACTCATTTTCAGAAATTTCAAAACAGACACTCAAAACACAAAACACAAAACGAAACTCAAAACACAAAACTGAAATATAAAGAGAGCGTCCCCTTACTTTTTTCCCCACACTTGGTATAAGCATCATTGAAGCAGCTATGTAATAACATATTCATATATTTAAATCAAGTTGTTAAATTTTGATGTGCCTTATAGCTCTATTTTTTTAACGACTTCCATGTTCGATGTTGACATTCTTATTGGACCGGATCATGTTGTGTAAGGTGTGATTATTGCAGCTATACTTGTGTGGCCACCTATGTAGTTTGATCCGAAGGTTAAAAGTTTTGTTCTATAGCAATTATATGTTTGCCCAAGTGGGAAAATGTTAGAATAATTCTTTTATGTGGGATTCCATTTGATTGTGAATTTTACGGGTTAGATGTATGTTTTGCAATGATACTGTGATTAGGCACAATATGTTAGTGATCACTTGGGCCGTGTACACCGTACAAACTATATTATTATAAGGGAACAATATATTTCTAAGGTATTTACTTTACACCATTTCAAAAATACAAAAACAAATTTCAAATTTCACAAATCAGATTTTTTAATTTTTTATTTATGAAATAATGAATTATTAAATCAATTATTAAATATTTAATTCTAATATAATATAATTACCCCACTCCACCTCCACCTCCACCTCCACCACCCCTACCGCTCCGGGGACTATTCCGGCTATTGTTCCGGTCACAAGTCATCTTCAACGACCGTTCTGACGCATGCTTCGATTCCGGCTACTATTTCGATGACCATTCCGTCGCCACTTTGTTCTGGTGACTGCTCCCATTCCGAAAAGTGTTCCAAGTCCAGTGACAATTTTTAGGTCACAATTTGTTCATCGGTCACAACTTAAAAATTTAAAAGTCACAATTTATTCGTCGGTCACAATCACAAAATTTGAAAGTCACATTATTTATTTTATGTTCACAAACATCACATTAATTGAATAAAAATTATATTCAGGTCAAAATGTATCAATATATTGGTCACAAATTAATAATTTTTAGGTCACACGGTTTGTACTGGTTACATTTTATCTAATTCATAAGTCACATATTGTTTATTGGTTACAAACCAACCAAATTATTGGTCACAAAAAATCAAATCATTTGTGACCATCACCAAATCATTTGTGACCACCACTTCGTCACTGCCTCCACCAGCGGCAAGACCACCGTCGCCGTCCAATAGCAACATCAACATCTCAAAACCAACACGACACCCTCCCCAACACCACTGTCACCACCACTGTCACCACCAAAGCCACACGCACCGCCAAAACACAGAACACACAAGTCAAACATAAAATACACAACCACCGCTGCCACCTACTTCAGATCCATAATTCGCAGAGCCCAATCCACCGCCAACACCATGGCACCGCACCATTTACGACCACCACCTCCAAAACCACCACCGCCAACACGACCACATTACACAACCATCACACTGTCGCATCACGCACTGACACCTAACCGCCGTACTCACACACACACCCAACCGCCGCACCCAAACAGATCTGCACCTCCATGACCATCGCACCCAAATAGATCTACACCTCTACGAACGCTATTCCCAAACAGATCTGCACCTCCACACCCCAACCGCACGCAACTTCCGGAGGTGAAATTTCCTCAGAATGGCGGGTGACAGATTTATATTTTTTGTTTCCACATACTGTTTGCTCCTAAACGATCTCGGTGCCGGCAAGGAAGGTTGGCTTGTACTCCTAATCGCCCATGACACCCACTCCGTAGCACTCGCCAACCGCTGAACTTACAGTCACCGAAGTAATCCCGTCGATGAAAAGGAGGAAGCAGTGGCGACCGGGGGTGGAGAGAGAGAAGACGAGAGAGAGAATGAGGGGAAGAAGCGACAGCTGCCAGGGTGGCGACGGTGTTGAGAGATGGGAGATGAGAGTGGAGAGGAGATTGGTTCAAATGATTTTAAGGTCTGAGTTCAAATGATTTTATTGTATATAGATATAAAAATTAAAATTAAAAAATGTTTTAAAATTATTAATTAAAACCTGATTTTTGAAATGTTAAACTTGTGATCTGATTTGTGAAATTGAAAATCTAATTTCAGGTCTAGGTGTAATTTCCTCTTATTATAATATGGTAATTTTAAGTATGTGAGCCGGAATTATGTAAACCATAATTATGGTTAGAGTCGGTAATGGGCCGGCTTTCTAATTTCCTATATAATTGCTAGGTCTCATCTCCTCTCCTCTCCATATCGTTTTGACTTGTCTCATTGACGGCTGATTATTTGTGAGGAACAAGGAGATGAAGATCTAGTTGATAATATTCATACATAACAATATCTTTCACATGTATGAATTTCGAACTATGAATTAACTATGTGATTCTTATTCTTAACATGATTGTATTGAATAATTTCAACATAATCATCCTTTGCCAGCTTCCTTGACTCTCTCTCACACAACACACACGGCTCATAAACCAGAGCATGTCAAAGATGGGTATGGTTATAGTCAATGTTCTAAAAAGTGTAATGCGTGGCGATACGTGGAGATCAAGCTATGGGCAAAACGAGCTTAAATGAGGCATATGCGTAAAAAAATGTTCTCTTATTTTAATGTTAATTTAATTTTTAATCAATCAAAAGATCATTTGATAATAAAAAATAATATCTATCAAATATCTAAAATAGATTTACAGAAACTTTATACATTTTTTCAGAAGTTTCCAATAAAAAATATAAGTTTCAAATATAAATCAACATTTAATTTTTAACTTAAAAGAATTGTAAAAAATAAAAAAAGACGCATTAGCGGTCAATGATTGGTGTTTTCGTCGCACATCGCGCCTAAGCGTCGTCAAGTTTTAGAACTATAGCTTATAGTGATATCTCTACACTTGATTATCTTATTCCTGTTGGTGTGGATTGTTACTTTATTGGTAGATCTAAAGGTAGACAAGAAATATACACCAAGAAGCAGGTTTTCGGTGCCAATAAATATCCCAGAGTATACCGTTTAAAATTGATTAAACCAGCTGTACAACTTAACTTAATCCTCAAAAATCAAAGTATCAAACATCTATTTTCATCCAAATCTGAAAATCCAACAATTTTTTGCATTAACATTAAAATTTCACTGATTTCATTCATCCAGTTTTATTGTTAGACTGTTTATCATTTCGATTTAATTTACAAACTCAAATTGAAATTTACAAATTATCTCGAATGTGTAAAGGTTACTCAATATACTTTTCTTTTTATATAACCATTCATATGCAAAGAAAGGTTAAGAAATAAAATCGATCAATAAGAAAGTTTTTATTTATTTTCTTCCAAATATTTAATTATCTTTACGACGTGGAATACAACACGAACCTGTGCATATATCCGATGAGTAGTGCTACAAGGACAGAGATTTTTGACAGGATTTAAAATCAGATACACGTGTCAAACACCGATTGGACAGTTTAAAAAAGAAAAGAAAATACATCCAATCAATGGCTGACAAATCAGGTTGTCAATGAAACCCTATTTTTTGTTCCTGTTTGAGCAGAATTATCCATATCTGATATCCTCTGTGTGTGGCTCCTTCAAGGATAGACTGAATCTTGAACAGAACTCTGAACCAACCACAACTATCCACCTCATCACTTGTTACACATTTGCCACACCTTACCCTCTCTAACAGCCACTACTCCCATACTCTAAAAATCATCCCTCCACACTTCTCCATTCAAACCCACCCTCTTCTTCTCCTTCTTCTCATCAATTCCAATCTTTCTCAACTGAAAAAAAAAAACTAAATTATGTCACTCACAATTCCTTCAAACCTTTTTAAGCCCATTTCTTTACCAAAATTGGGCACGAAACAAAGGGCTGCAACCATTATTTGTCAAGCTAATTCTCCTAACCAGACCACATCATCTGGTTCAAGTTCAGAGCACTCGCTTAAGGCATTTTCTGCTGCTATTGCGCTATCCTCAATTCTGTTATCTGCACCAGTGCTTCCAGCATCAGCTGACATAGCAGGATTGACCCCATGCAAGGAGTCGAAGCAGTTTGCCAAGCGTGAGAAACAGGAGCTAAAGAAGCTCGAGTCTTCCTTGAAGCTTTATGCTCCTGACAGTTCTCCTGCTCTTGCCATCGAGGCCACCATGGAGAAGACAAAACGCAGGTAATCAATCATTCTTTTAAGCATTTGTTGTGGGTCAAGTAAGCCCCTGTTTGAGCCACATTCTCATTTTTATGTTCATTCTTCTACTCATTTTCAACCACACATTCTTCAATAAAATAATTTTTTCTATCACTTCAACACTTTTCCTTCTTTTTCAACCAAATATTCATCATCACATCATAAAAAAAATGCATGCTCTCCTAAAAAATATACATCAAACACACTCTAAATATATTCAAGATTTTCTTGGATTAACTATTTGATCTTGATGCAAGAAAATTTTGGGCTTTCTACTGTTAGTTGATGCAATCGGTGCTGAATATATTGGCTAAACAGAAGAATTCTCATCTCATATAGCTTAAGCCTGAGATCATATCTTGATTTTTTTTTTTTTATAACCGTGGATGTTCGGGCTAACTTGCGCGCACCTCGACTAATCCCACGAGACCCTGAAGTTTAGAACCGGGTACTCACCTCAGTAGCCCTGAGGGACTCGAACTAATGACCATTGGGGAGCAAACTCAAGGTTTGACTAATTGAGAAACCCCTCGAGGTTCATATCTTGTTAACGATCAATTATGAAAACTGTGCACGTATCAACTCTTCAATGAAAAAATTAGTGTGTCCAGAATGTGATACAACTTTTGGATGTTGACTCGATAATTGGTATGATAATATAATCGATCACTTACTATTATGCATGTGGGCGAGTTTAAAATGATGAATTATAAGAAGACTTTCATGCGGGGCGAAAGCATTAATAAGAATGATGGAGTGCTGCATTAAGATGTTAAATGAGCCAAATTTTCTTATGCTCATATGCTGTTGAAGCATCTGTATGATTATTATAGAATGAGAAGAAAATTATCTTGAAATGCGGCGTTTCTTTCCTTAATTTGTCATCTTGAAGAGACAGAAGCCTCTGTTCTTGTAAGTCGTGATAAGATTCATTTGAATCATTAACTAGATGTTTCTACACAGTGCCGATTCTTATTAGTCATTTAGGAATGTCTCGGATTACTTCCATTCTAATAAGCTGCAGCTATTAAAATTTACATAAGATCAAATTCCTTACCCCAACAATTGAGTTGAATCCCAAATTTGTGATTATGATGAAGGTTTGAGAACTATGGCAAGCAAGGCCTGCTGTGTGGATCAGATGGTTTGCCTCACTTGATAGTTAGCGGGGACCAGAGACACTGGGGTGAATTCATAACTCCAGGGATTCTGTTCTTATACATTGCCGGATGGATTGGGTGGGTCGGTAGAAGCTACTTGATTGCTATCAGGGACGACAAGAAGCCGACCCAAAAGGAGATCATCATCGATGTCCCATTGGCCAACAAGCTTATCTGGAGAGGCTTCAGCTGGCCCGTGGCTGCCTACAGAGAGTACTTGAATGGGGAACTCATCGACCCAAATGTCTAAATATAAAATTTCAGGTTGATAAACTCTTGACTAAAGTAGGAATATTGACAATGCATATGATGATTACAGGACTGGTTTCACATAAATTTGGAAAGTAATTTGCAAAGTTGTTAATTTGGCTCCTTACATTGCAGGAATGAGACTGGAAGGACAGAAGGAGATCGGGGGCAAAGGGCCTTAGTTTGGGCAATATCATGGAGAAGAGAAATGGACAAATTCTTTGTATTTAATCTGTAAACTTTTTCTATGTATGAACGCCTTTATTGAGAAGCCCTTCCATATTTATTGTTTGTTGTTTCCCACTAGTAGCATTTCTATAAATGGAGTGTGAATGATCTCAACTAAAAATTATCAACTTCGAATGAAAATCTCTCAATCCTCTTTCAGTGTTAGAAACTGAAACCCGTCATGGGGAAGCATTTATAGAAACCTAAAAACAGCAAAGTTAGGTATCAAAAACTCGTTGATTTACAAAGAAGAAAGAATGTGGATAGATGATTGACAAACTTCAATATATTTTTTTTTTATTCAACATGGCTTTCAAGCAAACATTAATGGTCTTGTTCAAGAAATTCAAAATCTAGTGCTAAAAGAAATCTCAAAACTACCATATAAATCCTAATGTAAAGGAAATGGAAAACCGTCCCATGAGTAAACAAACTCGAATATCATAACATAATCATTCCTCATTCATACCATCAATATAACTTGAAACAAATATAATTGAGGAAACTGAAAAAGGAGAATGTTTATCCTTCAAAATCATCAAGGTCCAAGAAAAAGTTTTACTCTTTGTACCTTGCTTGTTGATAGAGCAAGCAGATAGCAAAGGAAATTCAAATTATACAACAGCATGACCAAAAGAAATCAGATGTTGCACATACTGCATAGAAACCAGTCAGCCAGAATGGTGAAAATTGCAACGTACATCTTTCCGTTAAATATTTGCAGAATAGTAATAGATTTACTATAAATGAACATACACATTACTTTGACAGACAATTTTCTCGTGTGCATCTACAAAAGCATTATTTTGCACGGATGTATTCCAAAAATAGCATGAGCAGCTCACTCGGAGTGATTCATGCATAGGACCAAATAAATATACAGAAAATGGAGTTTTGCGAAGTAATATCACGACGAACAGAAATCTGTGATTGCCTGTACATATTGAATTGATATCTGTTTTTTCACTACATTCTACACACTGTAAGGCCACTACAAAACTTCTTGTCGAGGAAAATTGGAGGATCTTGAATCCCTAAGAATCGGAGAATTACATGAGATTCATGGAGCAAAACAACTGTCAATCAATTACATTTCTATTTTAAGCTCCAATACATACAATTAATTCGCACTGTTTCTTTATATCTTTACAAATGAAATCTTTTTGGGAACAAGGTTTTTAAAACCTTCACCTATTTCAAGTGCTTATTGAAGAATTTCAGCTCAATGCATGCTTACATAAAATACAGATCTCCATGTATGTTGAATCAATAGCTAGAAGTAATCGATAGATTTGTACCTCCACATCAAATTTGTGTTGAACCCTCAAAGTGCATGAGAGAACCATGATTCTGTTTTCATTGCATCGTTCTGGTCAGTTTACATTTTGAAATGAAGATAGTATCTGAATAATTCAGACTACAGAGCTTCAAAAGCTCAGCAGCCTGCTGCTTCAGAACAGGACTGCAACCACTCTGGATGACAAGAAGGAGCTTCGCTGCAAGACCCCCGTCAACAGCTATTAACGAGCATTCCACGGGGGAGAGTTTGCATATAGACAACAAGATCGAAAGTGCATATTTTGTGCAGCTTTCTGAAATTCTCATAAGTAGCTTGACCATACTAGGTATAGTGTTTGGACAATCCCTCAAAGCTTGTCTCCCTTCAGTCACAGAGGACAAGACATCCAAAATGAAAAGGCCAATTTCCAAACATTCCGGATTTAATCCAGACAACAATTCCACCAACTGAGGAATAGCGCCAACACTCACAATCAAACTTCGGACTTGCTTATGTATGCAAATCAATTTGAGAAGACCAAGCCCGGGCAAATGTCCATTAGGGTGTCTCTTATCTCTCACCAGCCTCATTAAAGCAACCAACAAGCAATGGCTTGAGACAATCTCGGCTCGGAAATCTTTCTCCTCCATCAATATTTCGATCAACTGAATGCAATTGACTTTTGTTTCAATGGATCCTTCATTCAAAATATCGATAATTGATGACACTTTCGCAGGTTGCATCAAATTCATTTTTGATTCAGAATTTAGAGATAAGTTCACAATAATGGCTATAGCTTCTGAACCTACAGCATAGGAAGTAAATGGACCAAGCAAAGAGGAAAGAAGAGCCACCCCACCTTCATCAACCACAGCCTTCCTAGCAGTCGAATGAGCAGCCACAACTTGTTGCAGCTCCTTAAGGGCTTGAATTCTAGCCTGCCCCTTTACCTTCTTAAGGGTATCAATAAGCTCTGATGCCCTTCCCTGTGCATCTTCGGATCTCTTCTTCATTTGCACATACTTCTGCGAAAACCAAGTATGGATTAAATGGTAAAGGGTCCTGTTTGGCGTGACAGTATCATCCCAAAGTTCTTGCATAGTAGTAGGGCAAGTATAGTGCCCCAAACTAAACCATTTGAGAATGTTGGACCTCTCGTAGGTTTGGCCGGTGCAAAGTGTAACCGGGTCTTGCATTGTCTCGAGAGAAATGGGGCAAATGAACACTGACGGTACTTCAGACAAATTTAGCTCTTCAATCATTTTCTTTAGATCCAACTTCTCTCCAACCCCACCGCCAAAACCCCCAACTCCACCTCCGCCCAAGACTCCATCTTTCACTGCAGTTTCTAGATCTAGAACGTGCCCATCACCCCCACTGTCAAATCCAAGCCCATCCCTCTTTGAAGGCTGAAACATAGGCATCTTCGAAAACCCACAAACAGTACAAAGCTATCCAATAATCCAATTATTGAAATACTTTGCAAAAATCTCCACAACCTACAGACTTTGAAGAATGCACATTACAACCCACGGTTGCCACACACGAGGAGTGAGAAAGTATAAAGAAAGAAGGGAAACTAAACTCCCTCTATATCGCTTTCCAATTACAACAAGAATCAACAATTCTTTCTTTCAAAGGGCACATCTTTAATTTTCTCTCTCTTTTCGCTTTATCTTATTCTCTTTTTTGTGGTCAAAAGACCCATCGTCATCATCATAACACATAATAGAGCATTCATAACCAACTCTCTTATCCAAAAATCAAATCTTTCTTCTCATTCAAGCCTCGAAAGGAGTTCAATCATAGTAAATCTTTCACAAAATGTAAATCTAGACTAACCAAGATCCACCACCCAAAGAAAGAAAGAAACGAGTTTAAGCAAAGATGCTAGAAGAAATAAATAAATAAATAAATAATTGGACCCAGAACAAAAGAACCTGTGAAAAACAAATTGGAGTGAAGAGAGAAAGGGCATCTCCAGCAGGCTCCTAAGCTCAAGCCTTCTTAATCCGATTTTTTTCACTCGGAGTCTTGACTGTTGGCAGTAAATAAAATATAGTAGTATCCTAATTTCTCTGTGTAAATATATACACACACACGTATTATAAGTTCTCGAAATAAGCAAAAAAATGGAATTTTGAATAAGAGTAATGCTACGTAACCCTATTAGAATTGTAATCTCAGTATAGATGACTCTAAATAATAGGCTAAATCACTTATCATTTAATATCACATTAGTCCACTAAATTGAGGTTGTAACTCCAATGAGACTAAGAGCTTGTTTGGAATAAGTTAAAATTCAATTAAAATTGAAAATATAGTCGTTATTGAATCTCACATATCTAATAAAAGTCAATAATAACGACTAATTTTTCAATTTAATTTGATTTTAATATCTACCAAACACACTCTAAATAGCATTACTATTTGAATAATGCTTTTTAACAGGGGAAAGGTTGGAAATTGCCTTAAAAATAAATGCAAGGAGTTTGTGGTGGGACCCACCAAAGGTAATTTTTGTAGTGAAAAAGTGATGCCAGCAAGGCAGTTTGACCACGGTGACAGTTTTGCTTTGACTGTACCCATCTCGACCTTTTCCCGTGTGCCTTGATTGATTGGACTGCTTTTCCATTGCTTCCAATTACTTGCTGCCACGTTTCAGTATATCAAATTTTCATTTTATTATTGGACCATGCTACACTCACAAAATGTTTTACACAGGCACCCCTCCAATGGTGGGGCGGCAAGTGACGAGTTGATAAAACATTTTGTAAAACATTTGATACAACTAGATTTATTCTTTATTATTACTCTCAAATCTCTCCCCCATCTCCAATCTATGCACCAAAACACCATTTTGCACCAAATTTTGGTACAAATTCACTCCGATGTGCACCAAACTTTGCACTATTTTGCACCAAACCAATTCCGGGTGAATAAGAAATTACAGTTCGAAATTGGAAGGAAAAAGAGAGGAAACTAACCAAATATTTATCTAACTCCCCCGCTTTCCTAGTGCTCGAGCGGTGAGACTGTCGCTCAGCGACAGATGAGCAGCAGAGTCTCTATTTTCTGAGTTGTTGAGTTTTGTGGCGCGGCATTTCACTCACAACATTTCCTCATTTATAAATAAAACTTTTGGGACGTCCATTTTATCATCCCAATGATATGTAATCATAGTATAATATAAAATTCCATATTTTCTCAGCCAAACCTTTGCATATTTTCCATTTCATTTAAAAAGAGTGCAATAACCTAATTTTGGTTCGTTGATTCTTGTGTTTTGGAGTGCTACTAACACAAGAAGATTGTTATTGTATCTTGGAAGTTGATTGCCTTCATCCGTAGGCACCGTTGCGAGACAAATTCTATTTAAGGACAAAGAGTTCAACTCTTGTTTCGACTTTGCATCAATTTCACTTTGCGTTACTTTGACATTATTTTCTTTGGTGTTTATTACTCATTTCCTTGTCGTTACCCTATTCAATTTTTGGTAAGGTTGGTAAATTTTTTTTTTTTAAAGTCATCACTCAATTCAATTTTCCATTCAACAATTTTTTAGTACAAAAAATTATTATTATTATTATTATTATTATTATCATTTGTAATAAATCTTAATAATATAATCAACAATAGTTAAGGAATTAATAAAAAAAGAATACTAAAAAATTTGGGAGCTTAACAAACACGATTATTTAAAGCTAAGACGAACTCAAGTATAAATAGACTCATATTGCACTTTGAAACGCATTAATTGATCATTTATGAGATGAATTCCGATAATTAAATTGCAATACTATTTCGACTTCGTAATATCATGATATTGAGATTCGAAATGAATTGCACTAAATTTTAATGACATTATTTAATATTTTTTTTATTTGTCGTGTTTATATTATTGTACTATATTTTTATATATTTTTTAGTGAATTTAATATTTTACTTTAATTTAATTTAACGTAACTATTTATTTAGTAAATTATGCAATTGTAAAATAAATAAATTTTCAAATAATAAATTTTTAAGAATAAAAAAATGAAGAAAATGATTAAACACTGTTCATTTCATGTAATGTGTTGGAGATAATTTTTAGTTTAGTGCAAAATTTACCTTAAATTTTTGTGCAACGTTGGAGATGGAGAATGTGTTGTTAAAAATTGTGCAAAACTTATCTCTAAGAGTCTGTTTAAGCCCCCATTTTTTTTTTTTTACTAATAACCCATTTTGGAATAGTAAGTTGATCGAGAAAGTGTGGTTAAAAAAAATGAGCTTTTTTGAATTTACGTGTAATATTATTTTATTAAAAAATGTGTGATTAAAAAGAAGAAAAAACATATTTTGAAAACAATAGAGATTGAACAAGGGCTTAATGTTATTAAATCTCAATTTGAGATCCCTTATTTCAAAACTATTTTTTCTGCATATTTATTTTCAATTACACAATAAAATATTTTGCATGTAAATTTAAGACTTTTCTCTACTTTTTAACAACAGAATCTTTAAAAATTCACTATTCAAAACTTTATTTTTGTCAATTAATAACCATCAAATAGGGGGTAAGTAAACAAAATTGTTGAAAGACTTGTTGTCCACTCAACATTGATATCCAATGAATTGATAATCAAGTTTATAATTGGTATTTAAGTGAATTTACAATGCATTTTAAGAATTGACATCTATTTAGGTATAAAATAGAAAGACTTTATATTTATATGATACGTATAGAAGTTCAAATCTCATATCCAGTAGATTCTAATTACATCCTTGTTTTGTTGCCCTTTTTTGGAAAAATATTGTTTTAAATAGTGATTTTTTTTGGAAAAATGTGGAGTTAAAAAGTAGGAAAAGCTTTTGAATTCACGAGTGAAATATTTTATTGTGTGAATTTATGGTTGAAAATTAATATGTAAAAAAAATTTGTAAAAATGGGAGACAAACATGAGCATAATTCAAATTTCATCTTTAATATTTATTTAACTCATGTTTGATCCTCATTTTTTTCAAAATATATTTTTTCCTCTCTTTTTTTTCAACCACCCCCTTGTGGGAGATTATAATCCATTGTTGTAACCCAAAGTTGTACAAGGAGAATTATTCTAATATTATACGGAATCCAAAAACTTTTTCTTCATTTTTAACTACATATTTTTCATCAATCTACTATTTTAATATATGTTGACTCCAAAAATGTTGCCAACAGATGCCGAATCCACTCGTGTACACGTAAGCTAAATCTAGCACGTTAGTGCCGATCTACAGTCAGAATATCTCCAGAATCTGAACGTGGGAGGAGCTCAACGACACGAGACGTCTCCGTTTGGACCTCCGGCGAGATAACTAGAACACGATTGTATAAGAATCCAATCGATAAAGAACAAGATTTGTATTTGAAATGTGCTGATAAAACGAGAGAATAATATAGCTCCAAGTAGTTAGAATTTCATCCAGAATTTGCATTAGCCATTTTGTGTTACATGGTGGGGGTATTTATAGTGTTACAAATCAAATGGTGGCCTTTGGATCAAGTTACACGTTAACTAATCTCCTCGGCCAAGACATCAAATCNCAAAAGTCACGTCAATCATTTGAAATAAAGATCTTCATCATTGCTATATCTTTCCGCGTGGATCTCCACTAGCTGCAACAAAGGGGCCTCAGATAGTGCATGTCCACCGAACCGTGGTGCCACGTGTTGCTCCCGGTTTATGACTCGTAACAATAGTCCCCTAAGTCCATGTGTGGTCATTTATGCCATGCGTGGGCTTTCAATAAGTCAGAAAAAGTTTTAATTTTTTATACTTCACATCAGTCCCTCAAGTCCAGGCAGAGATATTCATACTGTGCGTGGAATTCAAGAAGTGTGATGGGTAGGGCTAAGAAAGTTGCCTTTAAAATTGAAGTTCTTTTGGAGCTGAAGCGAGGCGAGTTCATATTCGAACTGGCGAGGCTGAATTCCTTTGAAGGGAGGCGAGTTCATATTCGAACTGGCGAGGCTGAAATGCTTTGGAGCGAGGCGAGTTCATATTCGAACTGGCGAGGTTGAAATGCTTTGGAGCGAGGCGAGTTCATATTCGAACTGGCGAGGCTAAATTCCTTTGGAGGGAGGCGAGTTCATATTCGAACTGGCGAGACTGAAATGCTTTGGAGCGAGGCGACATTCATAGATATTAGCGCCTGTTACATGATGGTTTCTTATGTTTCCAAGGCAGGTTGGCTACATCGAAATGACTTCCAATAGCCGTACAGCTGTTGGAATTTAATGCATAATGATGACTAATTATTAGGACGCGTGGTTTTGGAAAATACGTTCACGCGCGGATCTATGTTGGTACACATACGTGTTAATCTGGAGCGTTGAGAATATAAACTGTTCGAAATCTGTGGCTCAGATCTACTTACTTTTGGACGCTTCAGATTAATT